TTACAACTTACTTACACCTTGTCAACCTAGCATGCTTGTCCTGTTAGATCGTAGGGCTGCATTTGACACAATTGACCATCAAATCCTATTACAGAGACTAGAACAATTATTTTGCATTACAGGGACTGCTTTAAGTTGGTTTGAATCCTATTTATCTGATCAATCTCAGTTTGTACATGTTAATGATAAGTCCTCTATGCACACCAAAGTTAGCCATGGAGTGCCACAAGGTTCAGTGCTTGGACCAATTCTCTTTACATTATATGCTTCCTCTGGGTAACATTATGAGGTAACACTCCATAAATGTTTCTCATTATGCAGATGATACTCAACTAAACTTATCAATGAAGCCTGATGACACCAATCAGTTATGTATCTGGAATCTAGGAGTTCTATTTGATCAAGATGTCCTTTAACTCTCACATAAAACACATTTAAAGGACAGCCTATTATCACTAAATATTAGTTCATGTATTTGTTACCTCCAGGTTGGATTTCTGGAATTCTTTGTTATTAGGCTGCATAAGTCGTTGGGGGATCGCCTGCCGCTTTGCTGTTCCTTTGTTTTTCTCTATCCTTCTTCCTGGATCTCCCTTTATCCCACTTTTATCCCACTTTTCAAACCCATCACAGTTTCGGCAGATCAACATGAGTCTAGTTTGGCTCAAGGTTTCTGCCTCTTAAAGGAAGTTTTTCCTTGCCACTGTAGCTATACTAAATGCTGTGCTCATTATGGATTAATCTTGAGTCTTTGTTATTTTGATAATATGACAATAAGTAAGGTCTTTAACCTGCCTTTTAGTAACATAATAAAACAATGAGTAATGTCTTTTTCAAAGTGTCTTAAGATAACATTTGTTATAAATTGGTGCTATACAAATAAAGATTGATTGATTGATTGATTGATTGATTGATTGATTGATTGATTGATCAGATGTCTTCCTATAACTATGATGCAGTGTAAAGGACAAAATGACCAACAAACATTGTGTATATTAAAATAGTTCCATGATAAACAACTTATTGTTAGCATGTAACCTGTTATTCTGTGAGTATTTTGATATAAATAATATATTCTCTGTTGAAAGACATTGAAAACTGGTACCCAAACAAACTGGGTAAGTTATGATTCAGTACTGAGTAACTATGATTCAGTACTGAGTAACTATCATTAGCTACTCTACAGAATCGGATGAGAAGTTACTCACTATCTACCCATTAACAAATGGTTTACTAGCAGTTAGTTCTCATTCCTTCCCTTGTAACTATTTGCAAAATGTGTGTAGTTGTGTGTGTGTGTATCTAGCATTGATTTTCTGTTAAGTAATCATTAGCTACTCTTAAATGTGATGATGAGTTACTATCTACCCATTAACTAATGGTTAACTAGTAGTCAGTTCCTCATTCATAAACACTAGTAAATATGAAATATTGTGTTTATTGTAAAGTGTACATCCATGCATCCAACCATCCATCTATGATAATGAACTGACACATGGCATGCTTTTCTTCAAAGACTGATTGTGGCAGACTTTGCAGATACTTACGTATGCATTTCATGCAGAAGTAACCGCCAATACCCAGCAGTATGAAAACAGCCGCAGTAACACAGGCGCAAATCAGAAGTTTGATGGCCGTGCTCAGTGTACCTGCACGGAAAGTTGTGGTTTAACAAACACTACTGTCACAGGAAACTCTAACTCATTTACTTGTCCGCTCTCATGTGTCTGGCCTACAAAGTTTGTGACCATGGAAAGGAAGAGGTCACATGTTGCTGCATAGAATTTTTAGAACATCTTTAAAACAGAAATACTTTTACCTTTTACAGCAACCAAATGCACCTGAAGGCAGTCCTGTTCCCACGTACAAAGATAACACCTCAGGTCTGATTCGTTAAGCTCATCTATGCGGATGGAGTAGTTCCCCTCAGAGCCCTGGTTTGGAAATGCTTTCACCCGGCCATTTTTGTGTTCCAAGAACTGAATACGACCGTCAGATGTGAAGAGGACAAGTTCCTGCTCAGCAGATTGGGCCCATGAAACCTGGGTGATGTTACTTGTTCTCAAGTTGCAAGGGAGTAGCACAGAGGAACCAAGTGAAGCACTGAGTTTGTGCATTTCACAGACCATTGAATACTGCTCACAAGAATTCTGATCTTAAAAGTAAGACAGAAATACAGGGAATTTTAAGGTTTGGACACTTTTCTTTAATTGTAACTGAATTATGTAATTAAAATTAGAAAGTGATGGAGATCATTTAAATCTAAAAACTAAAACAGTATTATGGAAAAGTAGTAGCACACAACTTCAGTGTCTAATTAAATCGGTGGTGTCCAAACTTTTTTTCTTGCGGGCCAAAATTGTCGTGTTAGAATCGCTCGCGGGCCACAGGTTTTGTTTTTTTAAATATAGTTGAAAAAATAGTAAGGCTTTGTAGATCAGAATCAAAAGGCTCGCTAAAGAAACCCTTTAATAAAAGGAAATCAAATATTTTGATTTCTTCGTTCTACTTTTTTTTTTTTTTCTCAGAATCAAGTCTGTAACGTGGTTCATTTTTTTAAAAAAGCTTTCTGCATTTAGCTCAGGTCATTAAATGGTTAAACAACAGCCCGCTTTGCATACGTTTTTTTTTCATAGTTTACAAAAAAATGTGGAAAATAGTAAAAGCTGTAGATTTAAAAAAAACAACAACATACATGTCACTGAACATTTTCTATTTTAGGAATATTGTTCAGCCCTTATTAACATGAAAAAGAAAAATAAGATAATGTGCCAATTCTGATTCTTCATTTGAAGTCACGGGCCGCAAAAAATTCCCTCAAGGGCTGTAAATGGCCCTTGGGCCGCACTTTGGACACCCCTGAATTAAATTGACAGAAAAAAGTACAGTAGATCAAACTTGTATAAAATGAGACATATTATTAATGAACCTATTAATCCAAATAATGCAAGTCTCTAATTTCACAAAGAACTCACCATTTGAAGACACACGTGTGAAGCACAGGGCTAAGAGAAAAATCCACATGTCTGCTTTCATTGTCACTACTTGTTTATGCCACTAACAATGTAGTAGAACTGTTTTAAACACCAAGCATCAAGAGACAAAACCACAAGACCCTCAGTTCATGTGCATGCGGAAGTAATTTGCCTCCTTATATTTCCCCTTAGATAACAGCTACATTGTTTACACAAACGTTTTTAAAAATGTTATGATGATCAGGTTAAAATTAAATTTGATACGTATTTATTTATATTACGTATAGGCGATATTTATTTTTTCACACTCCGAGTGCAAGTTCTCTAACCATTTCCTTCAAACCATTTCCTGTTAGAAAGAAAGCACATGCGATAGCTTCTGTCACCTAGTATTAAAGCAAAAGAAGAACCTTTTTAAATCAGACTCAATGTCAACCTAACATCAGATACTGATTTATAGATAAATTGTGATACCCTAGTATCCAATTCTAGTTGGGTATGTGTTAAACCAAATTTCAAAAAAAAAAAAAAAAAAGAAGAAAAGAAGAAAGAAAAAGGAAAATAGGAAAAGATTTAATTAAATAGTCCAGTAACACACTTTTTCCATGTAGGCAGAACATGTGTGTCCAATTATTATTGTATCATAAATATTTATACATTAATGTTAACAAAGTGTACATTCACACATACATAGACATACAAGCATACATTGATACCATAGACTGTAAACATAGGTGTGTGTGAGTGTGTGTGCCTGTGTGTGTGTGTGTGTGTGTGTGTGTGTGTGTGTGTGTGTGTGTGTGTGTGTGGGTGGGTGCTTGTGTGCCTGTGTGCCTGTGTGTGTGTGTGTGTGTGAGACGTGTGTGTGTGTGTGGGTGGGTGCGTGTATGTATGTACAGTAGGCCTATGCATGTTTTTTAGACCTATGATAGGTCTACATATAACGTATACATACACACACACACACATGCATACACACATACACACACACGCACACACACGCACACACACACACACACACACACGCACACACACACACACACACACACACGCACACACACACACACACACACACATGCATACATACATACACACATACATACATACTGTAGTGGCTATTTGTCCAAAAACAAAAATAAAAAATAATCAAATTAGTTTATTTAGTTTATTATTTAAAAATAATCAAATGACCACTGATGCACCATGGGGATGTGATGTACGCAGGCAAAAGAAGTCCAATGTCCATGCAAGAGCTGCGGTATTTTGGTGGTTTATTTGAAGAAAGCAAACAAAAGAACAAAGAAAATCGAGGCTCCTACTGCCTCTCTTGCTCAGTTAAAAAACAATAGGACTACCCAGGTGCATGGTCTTCCACCAGTGGGCGGCAGTAGTTCAGTCTGTAGGGACTTTGGGTTGGGAAACGGAGGGTCGTCGGTTCAAATCCCGGTGCGGACAGAATATTTAAGTTGGTTTGGTAGCTGGAGAGGTGCAAGATCACCGTCTGAGCACTGCCGAGGTGCCTTTGAGCAAGGCTCCAAACCCTCTCTCCAGCTCAGCCCACTGTCACTCTGACATCTCTCCATTAGTGCATGTCCATAGGATCCTGTTTTTTCATGTGTCATTTCATACATACTTACAAACATTCATATATACATACTGTAGCCTACATACATACATTTTATTATTAAAACAATATTTAATTACATATTCATTGACGGATCAATGTATCAATGTCTGATGTTTTTCTTTCAGTTCAAACTCGCGATTTGTACTACGATAAAAGCCAATTTAGGATAGACTTAACGTTGCAAGACAGACTTCTTGGCATTATGCCAAAACGTATAGCCTGCTAATCGATGCTGACATGACGCTGGTGAGACGCGATGCGGACAAAGACTGTAAATATGAAGGGGTGCGGATGGGGGTCTAGGATTGGGGGGGTAGATGATGGCTGAGCAGTAGTTCAGGGGTAGCGTGTGTCCGCCTCCTGCTGGCTGTTTACGTTTAAAACTCCTTGAGCTGTGAGTGGATCATCGTGCCACTTATTATGCGCTGACAGCAACAGTGTGCAGGCAGCTGCAGGATGGCTTGGAACTTTTTCCTCTCCTTATTTGACTACAAAACGGAAAAGTACGTTGTCGCCAAAAACAAGAGAGTTGGGGTTTTGTACAGACTTATCCAGTTATCTGTCCTCGGATACATTATAGGGTAAGTGAGTTATCGGTTCATTCTCATGTTATACAGTGGTGATATATGTACAGTAATATGTACAGTAAACTACTGCTCAGCCATCATCTACCTCCCCAATCCTAAACCCCCATCCGCACCCCTTCATATTTGTATGTCTTTCAGTTTATGTTGATCCCAATGGCATCGTATCTGATTTTCAAATATACATTTAACTGCAGAAGATTAGTTGTCTTGTGAGCTGTTTATGTACTGTGTAGGCCTATCTTCGATCATTATGTTGACTTTAAGTCTTCAATTATTGGCCAAATAATAGAAAATTGGAAGATTGGAAAATATTAGTTGTCAAACAAATTCTTTGTAAGGGTGGCGGTTGTGCCCTGCAGCAAAACCTTGTAAACGAGTAGTAACGCGTAGTATTACGTAGTATGGTAAAGTATGTACTGTAAACACTTTTAAGAACAGAAGCCACAATGTGCCTAAGGAAAGCAACAAGAGTTCAATTACGTAAAAACAAGATTACACTAAACAAGTGTTAGATTTAAATCTCCACAAGAGAATATAATAAGCAAAGTCATAAAAATGTATAAAACATACATTTAATAAGTACAAATGTTTATTAATGTTGATTGATGAGACACTTCTTGTCTCTGTAATATATTTAATGCCCCTGGTGACATTACAGTTTACAGTTTTTTTTAAATTTAGAATTAATATTCTCCTTTTTTCTTTTCTTTTTTTTTTAAACAAAATACAAAACAGTTGTAGACCACTAATACATACAACATAAACATACAGACTAATCTCATAAAACAATGTACAATATAAAATACAATTGACAAGAAGATGTTTGTTTGTGTGTGTGTGTGTGGGGGGGGGGGGGGGGGGGAGGGGGGTACACTAAATTCAATCATATAGCCTGTTTTCCAGGTACAATCTTATAAAGTTCCAGGATCCTTCATCTCCACAGTCAATCAAGAGAGCTGTGGCTGCCCGTTCCATTTTAACCAATTGTCAATGCTAAAGACTTGTTGTATTTTCCAATTCATCATAGCAATACTCTTCACTGACAGAAAGGCTAATGTGATGAATTGTTGTGCATTGACTGTATGTTTCTCACTCTAATGCCAAGAAGGCAGACTCCTAGACAGAGTTTAACTTTCAGACAGTTGAAGTTTTGTTTGAACCTACAGGTGGGTTTTCGTGAGCAAAAAAGGCTACCAGGAGACCGACGAGGCCATCCAGAGTTCAGTGATAACGAAACTAAAAGGTGTCTCTGTGACAAACACAACTGAATCTGGTGTGGATGTGTGGGGACCTGAGGACTATGTCATCCCACCACAGGTTTGCATTTATGCAAAAGCAGCATAAACTTTCTGTGCTTGATATGCTTTCACTTCACCTTGTTGTTTAAAACAGGATTGAGTTGAGGTTACCACAGACAGGGCTGAGTTAAGATGTTAGGATAGGATAGGATAGTACTTTATTGATCCCCAGTGGGGAAATTCGGGTGTTACAGCAGCACAGACAAGAAAGCTCAAATACACATTAAACAGAATAGATAAGGTAAATAAAAATAAAAATAAAAACAGAGGGGTATATACAAGAACAAAATGAATGATGAAGTTAACTGGGGGGAATTGAGAATTGAAACAGTATTTGAAGAGAATGACAAGTTAAAGTGACAAGTGATGATTAAAGTGACTTGGTATGATAAATAAATAGCAGCAAGTGATGTAAACAGCAGAGAAGAGAGGCAGTGTTTTACCACAGTAATGCAGAGTGCAGTTATATAATATAATGTAGTATAATATAATATAATATAATGTAGTATAATATAATGTAGTATAATACAATATAATATAATATAATGTAGTATAATATAATATAATATAGTGCAATATTAGCACAGAATGGTTGGGTTACCAAACACTGGAAGACATTGTGGGAAGACTTGTGTGACAAGATTTACACAATTTTACAGTCAGCGGCCAATTAGCTTAGCTTAGCTTAAGAACTTGATACAGAAGAACAGATACACAGGTAGCTAAAGATAAAAGAGAAAACTCAATGGGGAATGTCAAACATGTGTACGATCATCAACATAACAGGTACAGGAGAAGGAATGCTGCAACACTTGTACATGAAGAATAACCAGTAGTGAAAGGCACAGGCTAGCAGAGGTCCGATTAACATCATTATCATGTCATAATAAAGAGCAATTGATGGTGTTTTCTCCCCATACAGGGAGAAGCTGTTCTCTTTGTTGTGACCAATTTCTTAGAGACACCAAACCAGAAGCTGGGATACTGTGCTGAGGTATGAATATGTGTTTAAACCTGATTTAATCTGACTAATTGTATTGGTGAGAAACTGCTCTGTTCTCCTCTTCAAACATTTTTACACTGTTCATGATTCATTCAAGGCTTGACAGAAAATCCCTTTTAAAATTCAGTTTTATGCCTAATAGTTCCATTTGTTGTCATGATTGTCACCAGGATTCCCCACATTGAATTCAGAGACAAGTGTGCTATTTGTTTAGTATGGGCTTGCTTGAAGGCATGTTGTGCTGTGTAAATGCAGTGTTCTGAGAATTCGACCAGCTGTCTTTGTTTTGTGATAACTTTATTTACTATTCACTGTTTGACGTCTGACTATGTGCATGACTTAGGTAGTAAAGGCCCAGAGAAGTACTTAAGCTTAGTAGGGGGAAAAAACAAATCTAAAATAGTTCTCAATACTAACTTCACTTTATTTGAAATCGTTTTCTTTTCAGTAAAATACAGATACAAGCTAGTTATCTATCGGGTCATTTGTGCCCAATCATATAGCAGCACCAGCTATTCTTCTTGGAATCGGTTACAAGATACTTTCAATCTTCGGGAGCTGGTTTCCTTCAATGTTTTTAAAGGTCGTCTTTATGATCTGGAGGCAGAAACATCCAACTCGTATTGCCCTTTTTGGTGCTTTGTTGCTGATGACTTAGGACAGATTCTGATGAATGGTTCTTTTTGTGATTCCTGTATTTGACACTAGAAAGACCAAGGCTGTCATTTTGACTGTTTTCCTCACCCCTTTGAAATTATGATTTAGTTATGTGTCCTCTTTTTATGTTCATCAGGAACATTTTCACTCAGTGATGCATTCATTTAAAAACATGTAGACTTCAAGTTCTTGTGTTTCTGTTCTGTTTCAGCCCTGCAGAGTTCCTACAGCTGTAGCTTCATACAGGCTCTGCAGCCTTTGTTGTTTTTTATGACATCATTGGACTAACTTTAGTTTGGCTTATATATATAATCAAACATAATACAGAATGTGTTCATTCTGTGACACATGATCAAAGTAAGTTTGTAATCATTGATTGACAGACAGACAGTCACCATGGTTACTCACTCACCTGCTCTTGGAGCTGGTGGAGAATTAATTAAACACAACACAGAATGTTGACAAGCAGTTTTGTATTTCAAAGTTGAATTTTAAACAAATAACAAAAAACACTTGAACTTAATCAAAGAAAATCCCACAATTTAAATAAAAGAAAATAGGCCTTCAATTAACAGATTCTTAAGGGCACTTTTTACCCTCCATACAACATATGCTAAATAGTCCCAATTCTGTTCGTATAAATCAATGCACCAAAACACATTACACGTATTGCAGTTATTTGTTGTGTGTGTGCAGATGTCCAACGAATTCAAATGTTTATTTAGGTAGGGGAAATCCTACCACACCCTTTAACCAGACAGCCAGGCTTGAGGCCTGCCTTATAAGGGAATCTTGAGTCTTTTGAAGTTGCTTCTTTAGCTCGCCATCTTCTTTGCTCCAGCAATATGGCCGGACCTGTTTAGGCAAACCGGTAACAAAATTACACGTCTGCTCAATTTGGGAGCAGCAATTTAATCAATGTTCCATTGTGGATGTCTCACCAGTGTTCAATCCTGAAACATTCCTCAGCAGCAGCAGCAGCTCCTCAAGGGCTTGAAGTTTCACTTAAGTCCAGTTTTGTGTCCAGGGTTGAAAGCACAGTGTTTTTCTTTCAGAAGTTCTCCTTGACTGTTTTAGGAATGACTGTCTCCTGCTGCCTTCTGACTGACTCCTTGATTGGTTTCAATCAGGTGATTAGTGCACCTGGGGAATGGGGATAGATGCCTGTTGGCTACAGACTGCATCTAATTGGCTCAATTTCAGCAGTACATTTTAATTAATCAACATTGAAAAGGCAGAATAGAGTAAATTAGGATCTGATTTAGAACAGAATTGTCAGGAAGGAGGAGGATTGCTGCCACAGAGGCTTTAGCCATGCTCCAGAGCCTTGATGAGGCAGAGTCTGATGGAGGCGCAGGTTCGGATACGGAAAGTGATGTCTCCTGGTCTCTCGAAACTTCATCTGACACTGGCTCTGAGATTGAACCTGAGAATGATACAGAGATCATTCCCATTCGCAAAAAACGTCGGCTGCTGTTTCCGTGGTTGTCGATAAACTGTTCAAATTTCAAATTCATTAGAATTTAAGGTTTGTGTCTTGAAGTTTTTTTTATACCTTTCACAACATTACAGATCCATTTATTCTTATATTTGATATTGATTATTGAAATGATATGCAATTAATTCGTAACAGTCAAAATGACCGCTATGGCCTTTCTAGTAGTGATAGAATGCTGGTCCTTCTAGTGTTAAGTGTTTTATGTCTGAAACCCTGTAATTGAGCTGCTGCCTGTCTTGGCCAGAATGATCTTGTAAAAGAGATTTTTAATCTCAATGAGACTTTTTCCTGGTTAATAAAAGGTTAAATAAAGATTTGGGCTATTTAGAAATGCCTTATATGAAATTGACAGAACAGATACAAGTGATCCCTTAAATAGTAGAGGAACTTGGGCCCCTAAAAGTTGAGATACCACTACCCGAGGTAGAACAAAGCACAACCATATTTTTTCATAACTTGAACATGTCTAGTTTATGAAATGGATGGTTGTGTAAAAATATTTTACTGCAAAATAACTTTTTTGGGATGTTATATGCATCTTACCAAAAAACGAAAATAGGTCAAATTAGGGCTTCTCCGGACAGCTCTAGCCTCATCACATGTATCTCTGGGAATCAGAATCAGAATTTCACCAAATTTGGACAGGATGTTCACAGATAGTTATTAGTAGCAATTAAGCAATGTTTTTATCAATACCATTTTCAATTTTTGAATTTTTCACACTTAAACACACATGCTGGTGACAGAGAAGAGGACGCTGTGCTTTTATGTCATAGAGTGAATATGTGAAGTTCTGATCGGAGTTAATTTCAAGTATAAATGTTTGTTATTTGACATTCCTGGTGTTCATCTTATTATCCATGGGTTTATATCTGGAGGAAGCATCTTTTGTTGTCACATGATTTCAGAGAAACGTTTATTAGATTCAAAAAAACAGGAAGTAAGAAAGAGAGGGAACTTCACTTTGATAAGCTAATCATTTATTGCTTTGATAAAACATTTACAACACAGGTCAGACAAACTGCCATCATCACTTTATAGCACTTTCTGAAGAGAAGGAAAGAGAGGACGTCGACCTCCTGGCCCTCTCCTGCGTGTCGTCCTCCACCCTCTCCTCCCAACACTTCCTGTTTCTCTCCTGCTGTCCGATCTTATAAAGACAAAAAGGCCAAAAATAATATAACTTCAAACAAACAGACAAACAAACAGACGTGGTAAAGAGAAGAATTGTTGATAACCTCGGCTGCTTCAGCACCACATATTGGTCAAAGGAATCCAAACTTGTTCCCTCAGAAATCTATATCCACACACGTCCACACTTCAGGCTCCAATAACTCCAAGTGTGAAGAGAATATGATCGGGCGTACTAAAGCGTAAGGAGCAAGAGCAAAGGAAGAATCTTGTGGCCTCGTGTCCCGCTCACAAACCTTTTCTCATTGACAACTCAACCCGGCAAGTCTCCTCCTGTTGCTAACTCCAATAACGTAAACGCTACTAGCCAAGCAAATGTTAGCCAGGAGCACCCAGCTAACTCTGTGAAGGAAAGTAACAGTGCTAATGACGATGGCACTGTTGAGAATGAGGAAACTGTGATGATGATGATATTGATAATGTTGATGATGACGGTGATAGGCCTATGGAAAATGCTCCTGCTGAGCTAATAAGGGATGAGGCACTCTCCCTTTCCTCCAATTTGTGTACATGGGTCTCAGGTGGCACTGACACTACTACAGGTGGTCACCCACCAACATCTGTTTCTTTCAAACTTAATACTGATTTCATGAAGTTCATCAGTGTTTTGTGCAGAAATACATAGTGAAAGATGGATTCAGGCTGATTGATACAGAGACCTTGAAGTCCCAAAAGTAAAAAATAAAAGAATAATCTTGTGAGCACAAGAGTTTAACTTGAATGCATAAAAATGTGTGGGAGTAAGACAATAACTTGTATGCACAATACATCTTTTACACGTCTTGGGACTTCAGGGGCTCTGTCGATTGGTGAGGAGCTGTAGCAGTCAAACATGATGCATGGTGGCACAGCACTCACAGTCAGCGCTTCCTCTTAGCAAAAATACTTTAATTTTAACAAAGGCTCACATCTCTGTCTACTCTCGGTGTGTGTACGTGTGTGTGTTGATTATTTCATCCATATTTCTCACAGTTATATCCGTAGCTAGAGAATTTCAGGGGGGCACTGGTATGTAAACTCAGCCTCTTTTGGTGCCGTGCCTCACTGCAACAGCCAATAGGAATAACCCAAACAGGAACTACCATACAACAACAGCCATAAAATAAACCCTTGTATACATTTCAGTTCTTAGTGCCCCTTCTCCTTAAAGCCATCTGTCCCTGAGCAGGAGCCTTTAATTCTCATGGAACATGTTACTGTCAAGCAGGTAACCGGGCAGTTGTCACAAAAGCTGTTTTCATGATAATGCTCATCAGATTTGAAAAGGACGCAGCAGGCAGCATGTGGTCAGAAACACACTCAAACTTCATTTACATTAAAAATATATGAAAACTTACTTTAATGAAAAAAAACACAGCTCTATCGCTTAATCTTTGAGTTCCTCTTTAACTATCCTCAAAAACCTCACACCTCAAACTGGTCATCAGAAGTCAGAGTGATGTATTGTCAAATATCTCGTCTTATTTAAAGACATTTGTTCATCTTCTGGTTTCCTTTATTTTTCTCTGCTTAGCAAACAATAGCAGGTAAGCACTATTTATCATTCTTACCTGCCAATAGCTGAGGTGTTCACCGCCTGCTTTGCACCACAGAGTCAATGCGTTGATCATCATCATCATAATTATTGTTCCTATGTGGGCCATGTTAAAAAAATATTATTATTTTTTTAATTTTGAGATTAAACTCGTAAATTCACAACTTTATTCTCGTAAATTTACGAGTTTGAGACCAGCCTGCGCGAAATGATGAAAGTAGAACTCTTAAAGTCTTTAAAGAATAAAAGAATAAAGTGGTTATTTTAGTCTATATGAGAAGAGCAGCAGCATCCTGTTCTCAAATGACAAACATGGAGCATCTTGTCCTAAAGGTTTCACTAATAAGGAAATAGGATACTTCCTTGTGTAGTCGGTAAAAACAGTTGAAGAGAAGTTTTCACTTCAACTTGAAAGACTTTGTTTATCTGTAAAATGATAAACAAGACACAAACTGTCTCTGCACATGAGACACTTTAACAAGGCAGACAGATAACAGACACAAATAGTTGTGTTGTTTACATGTGCAGATATGAAACTACACATGCTTTTGACACATCATCATCTTCACATTGTCATAAAATATCAGCACCCTGAAAAGATTCTGCAAAAACTGAAGAAAGAACCACACTGACTGGGAGGAAGCTGTCTGCAGAGGAAACGACTTTAAGAGTTCTACTTTCATCATTTTTCCGCAGGCTGGTCTTGAACTCGTACATTTACGAGTTTAAGCTAATAAATTTACGACTTTGTTTTCGTAAATGTACAACTTTAATCTCGAAATTACAAAAAAATAAAAATTTAACATGGCCCTAATCCTCCGTCATACCTTATACATCAAGCTCAAGACAGATATGTGTGCTGTGATAGATATTTGTCACAAACAAAGACCAAGTAATTTCTCCTTTTTTCTCAATCAAAATGTGCCTCAATACCTCGGATAAGGAGGTGTTTGCATTGGCCATTAATATTAAATTACATTACTTTTTAATCAAGCACACTTCCTAATAAAATACTTTTAATCAGAAATAATTTGTTGGAAACAAAAACAGGTTTGTTCAACTTTAATATTTATTTTTCTGTGGTGTTTGTCCTCAGAGCCCCAAAGTTCTGGATGGCCTCTGTAATAATAATGATGACTGTGAAAAGGGAAAGATTGTAGTGGCTGGTAACGGTAAGAGAGAAACAACTGATTTTACATTACCATTGTGTCATTGGTATCACTTCAAGTTTTAAGTTTAAATAGTAATTAAAAAGGGAAAACATGTAAAGTTTATGTGATTAAAAGCAGGACAATTATACAGATATTTGACATAGGTATAGTATGAACTGTTCACATCTGTATCCTTCATTTCAGTAAAAAAAAAAAAAAAAAACCTTTTCACATTAGATTTTTATGGTCTTCTTTTATATTTTGTACAGGACTTATGAGTGGTCGATGCTTGAAAAAAGATTCCAATTCCATTGGTTCCTGTGAAATCTACGGCTGGTGTCCTGTTGAAAGAAAGTTTAAACCACAGTAAGGGGAAACTGTTTAATGCTATATTTATGTAAGCTAATTGGTTTAATTAATATACATAAAAAGTTTTGTCTACAAAACAGCTTAGTTTGGGCAATGACATCAATACAAGATATCAGACACCAAGACATTTTTTTTTTTTTAGAGGACCTCTGCTGGCAAATGCTGAAAACTTCACCATCTACATCAAGAACTTCATCTTTTTTCCGAAATTTGCTTTTTCAAAGTAAGTTTAAAAAAACCTCACAATAACCACTGCAAGAAGTGTTAGCTTTGAAATGTTGACTGGAAACGGTTGTGTACAGTGAGCATTGAACACAAATATATCTGTTCAGTTATGTTTCTTAACCCTGAGGTCAAACGTTCTTGAAACAAACGATGACACCTATTTGAAGAAATGCCGATATGACAAGGAACTCCACCCCTACTGCCCCATCTTTCGCCTGGGACACATCACCAGGAGAGCTGGGTACAACTTCCAGGACATGGCCACATTTGTTAGTATTTTCTTTTCCAGTGCACATAGTCAAGAGTTGTTGAATAGATCCAGTCGTTTAAACTGAAACGTTAACATCATTGAGATGATTTTTAAAGTCAAACCTGCTAAGTGATGCATCAGAATCTAATCCCAGGTAACATGATTTTACTGAAATATCCAGAAATCAACCATTCCAATCACTGCAGCACTGTGCTGTGTACAGGTTTTTATTTTGGGGAAAGGGAGAGTTGAATCGGTACTTTAAGTATAAACTGCAGATGTAAACTTCAGTTAACTAATGTACATTTTGGATCTTTGGATCTAATTTCCACCACATCATTAGAGTTGGAAGCTGGTAATGAACACATTAAGAAATGCTAAAGAAGCATTCTAAACTATGATTACATTTATGTTCTTACGTATACTATAATGGATTGAGGATGTCACTGTAATGTCAGATGTGTACGGTATAAGGAAGTGGAATGTTTACCGACTTGTTTTAGGAGGTACATTCAGTATGGTCCAACTTGTATTCTGTTTTCCAGGGTGGCTCCATTGGTATACTGATAGAGTGGGACTGTGACCTTGATAAAGGCTACTCTAACTGCAGTCCAGTTTACCACTTTACTCGCCTTGACACCAGTGTCTCCAATAAGACCATCGCACTGGGATTTAACTTCAGGTCAGGCTCGTTGTAGATCTATGTTGCACATTCTCACATTTCTTATTTTCCTATTCATTGCACATATTTCTGTATACAGTTAAGGACATGTGATTCCAGAGGAGAAAATAATACTAAATGCTTCATTGTGTTTCTTTTATTTTTATTTCTTGTGATGTCTTATTGTCCGTTTAACTTTTCAACAGACACACTCGGTACTTCAGAAACACTGATGGTGAAAGGTATCGGTCTCTCTTCAAAGTCTACGGGATCCGATTTACCATCTTAGTGCATGGAAAGGTATGTGTAGTGACAGGAGTTATTTATGCATATAACCACCAGAGGGCAGTAACAGCTTAACATGCCAAAGGTGAGTTTCTCCTGGTGACAAAATTCTTAGAGTCATGACATTTTCTAAGTATTTATCCTGATGCATCATTATGGACATTTTTGTCCATTTGGTCAAATGTTTCCTCTTCATCTGTCCATCATTTTGTGTTAGTGCATATAAAACCCATTTTGTCAGAAAGTCTCTCTCTTGACACATTTTGGAATGCACATTTCATTTTTTTAATAGAACACTGTGAAACATGTTTACTACCCTCTGAAGTCATTAAGGACAACAATGTCCACTTCCAAAAAACTGCATTTTTTAGGAATTTAACCCTTTAAATGCCAGAATCATGTAATCAAACTGGCATTTAAAGGGTTAAATTCCTGATAATTACTCAATATTTGATAGTTTTGAGCAGGGCTGGAGTTGTTGAAGAGATTCATGCAAAAAAAAAAGTAGAAAAAAATATGAATCTGTTCTATTTTTATAGCAGTTTTTGTAAATTGGACATTTTCGCCCTCCAATGTCCAAACTGGGAACTACATGTTAAATCTGATGCTACACTAAAACTAACAATGCATCAAGGTCAATATTTTGGATAATCTTAGACATATCGAAGACTAATTAATATAAACCAAACCAAATATTTGTTATATGGAAAATAACTCATGAATGTTTGATAGTTTTGAGCAGGGCTGAAGTTGTTTAAGAGATGTGCGCAGAAAAAAGTAGAAAGAAATATCAATCTGTTCTATTTTTATAGCAGTTTTTTGGAAGTGGACATTTTTGTCCTGAGTGACTTAAGAGTGTAGTAAATTTAATTGATGCCTGAGGGTTAAAGTTGAGACTACATCCTTGTAAAGGTGAAAGTTATTCAAAAAGCTTCTTAGCCATTAAGAGAACCGTTATGAGTAGTGAGGAGGACTTTTAACAGGATGAAGAGTTTCTCAAGCTGAGGAGGAAACAGAGAAATGTTCTTCAAACTCTACATGAAGAATATTATTGAATCATTGTTGGGCCAAACATTCAACAATTATTTTTGCAGACATTTCAATCCATCTTGCAGTACAAAGTTAGACATGCATGTTGAGTCCTTCCACAAATGATTTCCACCACAGGTGATTCCAATCACTAATTAAGGCTCTTTACCTGCTGATATAACTAATAAGTGGAGAGGCTGCTGCAGAAGTGTGCATGTGATTTCAAACATTTTGTTGGCCTTATACTTTTAAAGTACGTCTTACACTTTATCACACAGCGATAATCATTTTATAGTGTTCATAATTACACACAGTCTCACTAGATTTTATGATTGGGCACAATCCATTTCACTCTTCGTCTATATGTTCGTTAGCACTTTTTTCTTCAATTCTTTGGGATCAACCAACCACAGCTCCTGAAAACAAATGTGTCATACCTAGCAACGGGGTCAACAGGGTCAACCATACCACCTTAGTGTTAGACTAGATAAGAGCAACATTTTGAATGTCTACATAAGTTTCATGTGTCATGCATATGTTGACTGAGTGACATCACGTGCAGTTCAGAGGCACACAGAGTGAGAGAGCGCTTCACTAGGCACATCATTTTTCTACCATTTGATAATGTCATTTACTACTTTGCTTAAACTGGATTACATCTCCTGTCTGTCATGTCAGAATTAAGTTACAGCTTGTCAGTGGCAAACTTTCTGAAGGAATGGCGCTACATGCATTTCCTCTACTGTTTTTATATATATGCATATGAGTGCAGCACCTGTAACAGCATTTGTATAAGAAGTGTATTATTTTGTTGTTGTCATTTTTGGTCAGAGAAGTTAAAGACCAACGTTTAGGCAGGGATTGGCTGCATACTGGGGGGGAGGGGATTTGTATTAATGTCTACAAACAGATGTCTGTATATAAGAGTGGACATAACAATCTCATCATAGATTCCTCTCTGGTCTGGCTGACCAGAGTCCAGGTTTAACTCGACCAATGCATTGTGATGTGACATTATTTGAATAATAAATGCAACATTATTAATATTAGGATAAACTAGGATCATATTAATATCTCTAAACTCTATAAGGTTCTATTACACTAATAATCATTAAATCATGTTCAAATACATCTTTGAAAACATGCACACTGTCCTTTCATTCTAACTCTTAATATGTTCTTGAATCATTATCCTTAGGCCGGGAGGTTCAGTGTCGTACCAACAGCCATCAACTTTGCAGCAGGCCTGGCTTTGATGGGTGCTGTAAGTACCATAATGCATTTTCTAAACAGCATTTTCTTTACATATAATTAGAATTTTGCGTCAGTTACATCACTTTATTAAACATCCTTCAACAGGGAGCTTTCCTCTGTGACATGGTCCTCCTCTACCTGATGAAAAAGGGCAACTCTTATAGACAGTGGAAGTTTGAAGTACCCAGGTGAGCGATGAATGAACCAGTAGGAATTCAGGGTTTTCTGGATTTGGATATGTCAGCTTTTAATTTAAAAGAGTGATGAGATCCAACAAAGCCCTAGTTTTAATCCTATGAAAGCATTGTGATTTCAAATCAGCCCCAAAAGATGGGAACTATGATTATGCATAATATAATCAACTAAAAAATTTGTATATTGTTGGTATTTTTGTGAATTAAAAGGATATTTGAATTGTAAATGTAATGCTTAAACACAAATACTCACATAAAGTTACCACTATCAAGAATGTAAGGAATGAACACTGTTTTAAAAGCAGAAAGTATGCAATTATTATTTATTTAATACTATTATTTATATGTTCCCATTAAAATGCTCGTCCAAGGGACATGATGAACACATTTTGTGAAAGCAACAGTCATATTTAAAGGGGCTCAGTTGGTAGAGTCGGTCTTCTCTCAACCGGGAGGTTGGAGGCTCGATCCCCGGCTCCTGCAGCAACATGTCGAATGTAAATGATAAATGAACAAGACACCAAAGCCTGAGTTGCTCCTGGTGCTTTGTCAGCGGTTATTTCTGATGGTCACTTTACTCAGCAGCCTCTACCATCAGTGTGTGAATGGGTGTGAATGTGTAGGTGTGACCTGCAGTGCAAAAGAGCTTTGAGTCGTCAGAAGACTAGAATAGGACTATATAAGCTCAAGTCCAGATGAAAGTTTTATTTGGATAAAGCTGAACTTTATTCATTGACTTTAAAAAAAAATCATGCTTTGTGCTCTTAAAGTAAAATAAATAAAACTAGTTTTGGTATATTCAGTTTAAGGAAGGCTTGACACTGTTTCTACAAATGTACTTTTCTTATTCGTTGTTGTAATATGTAGCCAGTATATACATGTTAACAAATCTTAAACCTGTCTTGTAATATTTATAGTTTTATCTGCAAAAAGCTTCTGATTTCCCGTTCATTATCTGCCACAATCTGTCTCCGTTCCACAGAGATACAGAATCAACAGAAGACGACGATGATGACAGAACGGATGCAATGGAGCAGAAAAGTCTGCAATCTTAATTTTTTTTTTTTTTTAGGGAAATAATTGTTGAGAATCAGCAAATAAGAACCTGAAGAGAATATTTAATTCAACAGGTGGATGCCCTGTGCACAGCACTGTCAGTCCTTAAATGTTGATGCAGGTGATGGCAGGAAACATAATCTTGACAGCAAATGAAAAGAGTTCCTGATGAAGCCATGTGGACGTAACAATTTGTTTGTTTGAGAATGTAATTCAATAAAAAGAAGAATAAAAGGTAACTCAGCTTCTTGTGTGCAGTGAATCTTCTCATTTGCTGTCAAGGATCATTAAAGGGGCACTATGTAGTTTTGGTAGAGAAGTGTGAAAGTTGGAGAAATGTGCAGATTCTGTGTTATATGTTTATAACTCTACACACAAACTGTCCTCAGAGGAACATGTGGTCCCTGTAACACTGTTTGAAGATAAATACTACATGAGAAGTTATGGTGGTGAAACCGTAACTCTCCTGGTAGCTCTTAAGCTCTAAACAGTGTTCCAGGGACCCATTCTTTATTTGAATACATTTTGAGTATTCAGTTCAGAAAATATAGCAAAGAATTGTTTCACTTCTCCAACTTTCAAATTTCACCACCAAAACTCTACAGTGCACCTTTAATTATTGATAAACTAAATGCACACAGACTTTTTAAAAATGTGAAGATGTTTTATAATCTAAATTATTTCAGTGAAGGATTTTATTCCCTTTTATATTTTTATAAGTCACTTTGGAAACCTCACCTCAGAAGAGACACAGGGGTGGTGACCCTGATACTCTGAATATTCAAATGTTTATTATGACACCGCTTTGAATGATGACATTGCACTTCTGAAAGTTAGAGTAATTAAAGCTTGAGAGAGTTCTGTGAAGACTTTTTACACTGTGATTGTAAATAACAATCACTGAAGCTGTGGGTTGGCTGGCAGTTGAACCCTAACTTGACCTTTCGTTTTGTACATCTTAAAAGACTTCAGGTCTGGTGTACTCTTTCTGATGAAAGAGGCCTCTTGTTTGACACATTCTAGAAATCGCACGCATTTGCAACCTGACACTTTGGTAGAGCGCCTGAAGGAAGTTCTCACCTCTGTAACACAAAACTATTTCTCAGAAGTACTTTGAATCTCTTCTCCCTGACTGCACAAACATCAAGAGAGGCCAAGATTATTGGTTGCAAAAAAGCAATGCACTTGGCACTTGATTTGAAGCGTGAACCAGATTTTTTCTTTTGCTGGTTTCTTTTAAGAATTTGGGGCATGTAGATTATAAAATACTTCTTAACATGGGTCAGAGGGAACAGTACAGCTATGCTGTATGCTTATTTCACCAGTGAAAGTTGTGCAAATCAGTTAGAAGAAATTACATTGAGCAAAGGCCATCGTGCTACTATTTTTAAGCAAATTACAAAACCCGTCAAAATGTTTCCCTGCGAGGAAAACATGCAACAACTTCACATGGATGATGCAGTGGTGCCACTTGTCTACAGGCGAGGCAGGCAACTGCTTGGAGCCCCAGACCACTAGGGGGCCGTGGAGGGCTGACAAACTTTAAACCGCAGCAGTAGCTCAAAATGTGCAAATTATGCAATGATAAAAAGTAAACCTCCCTAAAGGGGCCCCATCTGACTGCACTCCCTCTCATTGCCCTGCTTAGCATCTCATGTATTATTCCTGTGATACTCCAAAAGATCGTCAATGAAAATGACTGATGGAGAAATGAAGAGGAATGATCTTTTGATCTGATGTAAATATTTTGTACTTGAAGGGACTTAAAACTATTATTGTAATATATTAAATACATGAATAGCGGGCGGCAGTGGCTCAATTGGTAGAGTCGTCACTTCTCAACCGGAAGGTCGAGAGTTGGATCCCAGCTGGGCAACATGTCCGATGTGTCCTTGGGCAAGACACTTAACCCTGAATTGCTCCGCTGCTTCGGTTGTGGTGTATGAATGGCATTAGTTACTTCTGATGGATACTCCATAGTGATCACTACCATCAGGGTGTGAATGTGTAGGTGTGACATGTGGTGTAAAAGTGCTTTGAGTAGTTGGAAGACTAGAAAAGCATTATATAAGCTCAAGTCCATTTACCATTACCATGACTCGCATTCAGCAGCTTTTTCCCCATCGTCATTTATGCTACTTTGTGAACTGAGTTTACCAACTTGTATTGATGCAGAAGAAATTTCTGCTTGAATGTTAATGTACCAATAAAGATTTTTAAGACAAACATCATGCAGTGAACTGAGTTTAGACTTCATGTTTTATTTTAAGAAAGGAGGTGATCTCTGCACTGTGGTGCTGTGGTTAGCACTGTCGCCTCACAGGGAGGAGGTTCCTTGTTTGAATACCCGTCGGGCAGGGACTTTCTGTGTCTGGCTTTCATGTTGTCCCCGTACATGTTGGGAAATCCAGCTTCCTCCAGTCCAAAGACATGCTCGTTAAGTTAATTGGTGGGTCTTGCATCAGGTGTGATTGTGAGTGTAGCTGGTTGTCTCTTTCTATGTGTCAGACATGTGATTGACTGGAGACAAGTCTAGGGGTGTACCCCTCTTCTGGAATCAGTGCCAGCCCCCCTGTGACCCTGAACCTGAAAAGGGGGTTCTAGAGATCTAGTTCAGTAGTTTTAGTGCTGACCCTCACTTATTTGTATATTCACAGGCCACATTACTGGGCTGGCAGTACAGTCACACCTCTTTGTTTCAATAATACAAAAACTTGATCCAGACAGTGTTCCCAAATTATCCAAGAGAAATGTTTTGGGTGATACTTTAGGGTTTTAAACACATTTTCTCTACCTGAAATGAAGTATGAAAACCTTGACATGTAAAGATTCCTCTGCGGTATTATCTCTTCAGCAGTGTAGTCTTTTATCTCTGTAAACACCTGGTGTAAAACGAAAGGACAGGTTGATTGATTTTTCATATGACAAGTATTTAGCTTGGTGAGAGCTGATCCACCCACTTTCAAAAAAACTTGAATAACAAGTTAGTGCAGAGAAAGAACCGAAAGTATCTTAGTGAGCTGGAAGAAAAACAAACTGTGCTCGATACTCGAACTCGATAACTGATCAAATGTTTGATTTGTTGTAAATGGGACTAAACATGCAACCATTTCTTACTTTCCTGAATGGAGTCAAATATGTGAAGAGTCAGTAACACGTGCAGAAGTATTCACATGAATGCTTCTATATGTTGATGAGTATATAGCACTTAACTTTTGCATAATTAAAAGCAAGTTGGATGGAGAAAAACACAAAATGTCCACATTGTCTTGCAATTCTCCATCAGAAGAACAACTTCATGTTTGTCACCTTCAAAGACATTTCATGGAAGAGTACAACTTTTTGTTTCACATTCAAACTTTACTTTCTCAAACTTTCCCCTCATTGCCATTATTCTTTACTTATTTGTATACTTTCTGTGTTGTGGTCATCCAGGGGAGAGAGACGTAGTTTGCCCCTTTTGTTTGCCACAACATCTTGTTTTTCCTTTATTGTAAGTGACAATGTGTAAACATAAATTAAAAAAAGAGAGACAATACTCTGGGAGGTGACCATCTCTCGAGCGATGAGATCAACTTCCACCGGGACTTGAACCGGCGACCCTCCAGTTCCCAACCCAAGACCTTACTGCTGCCCCCTTCTGTACTTCTTTGAGAATTTAACCCAATGTATCAAAAATGTATTAAATGTATTAAAAATGCAGAGCTTCGATTCTCAGGCTATTACAAATAAACTAATAAATAAATAAACTAACACACTTTAAGACAACACACTGAGCAAGGTCCTTACAAATAACCTCAAACTAGGTCATTTTTAATTTGCAGCTGTATAAATATAAACCAGGGAAAACCCAGGTCAAACTAATCATACTATTAAGTATTGTTCTATTGTGGGAGTTTAGTTGTCTCACTGGTTAGACCTGCCCAAAGCTAACCTCACAGTACACGCTCCCTCAGAGACAAAGTTTGGATAAAAACACCTGACCTTGTAAAAATGTCATATTTTCTGATGCAGTAATGTTCATTGTCCAGGCATAAAGCTCATCTTATATGCAAAGAGTACTAACAAAATCCTTAAAACCAAACAGGAGAGGGTTAAAGACGACCTGACCTACATCTTTCTCTAAATCAAAAGTATGAAAAGTATTAATCACGACTTGTCAGGCGTTTACATTCTTTTTAACTTTTGAACAATAGAGTTACTGGAATAACAGCGTACAAGGAAGTACTCAACATTTCTAGGATGGTATGTGGCTTGTGTTCCAGACTGTCAGTATAAAAGAGCGAGTGCGGAGGGTCATATCACACACCATCAGACAACATGAAGGTCCTGCTTCTCACACTGCTGCTCCTGCTGTGTAGCACTCAAGGTGAGTCAACTTTGTTGTTCGTTTTTTTACATTTTTGTATTGTCTTTACAAAGCCATAATAAACAAGAGGTGAACATATGTTTTAACACAGGTTGAGGCATTTCACTAGTGGAGCAGCATTGTTTCCTTTAAGAGAATGGAAAAATGTTTCCTGACGATTAAAAGCTTTTTAATGAATCCACTGCTGGCCCAATGTCATTTATATAAATGTTGTTGTTACTGTGTTTCGTCGTGATGTTGCAACAAATTTGAAACTAACTTTGATGGATTTTGTCTCCTCATCAGTGCTCAGCATCAAATGTTACACCTGTAACAGCGCTGATGACCATTGCACTGTGACATCAGACTGCCCAAATGTCCACTTCTGCATGGTTCGAGAACATTCTGGTATGTAAGCCTTTTTTTTTTTTTTTTTCATAAAACATACATTTTTGAAATGGTCGAGTCATTTAATATTTTTGAATTTCTTACAGGAAGTGTTTCTCGTACCTGTGCTGCAACATGCATTGAAGACAACCACACCTCCTGCTGCGTAGAGGACCTCTGCAATATCCCCTAGGCATCAACCAGCTTTCTAAATCTTTGATAGAATAGACAAGAAAATGCATTTCTTAAATCAAAATGTTATTGGTGATGACTTGCTTATTTGAAAGATTTTAATCCTGTCATAAATCTTTGTCATTTAGAGTTTTCCAGATGTACAAATGTTGAATTGTTTTTCCTCATTTGTCAACATCTTCTCACTTTTAGTGGTCACAGCTATTAATTTTTGTAATGAACTAGTATGAACTAGTATGAAGTGGGGCAACCACACGCATGCACACAAACACACGCTTAATCCACTGCTGATGTCACTTAGTGGGTCACTGCAACAGCCGCTGCTATGTGGGTCGCTCTCTGTCTCTGCTGCAATGTAAAGTTTGACTACCTATCAAAATCAAAAAATGAATAAATATCTTTAATGTTCACATCAAATGTTTCATGTGTGTTTTTGCTGGTGATGCAAGAAAAAAATGTCCGCAGACTTTAACAGTTGCCAACTTTTTGACCAGTAATATTGCAGCTCTCATACGCTGACATTGTAGGTTCTAAACATGTTGCTTTAGAAACAAATGAACTCTTCTGATAGTCGGACTGCAAAATGGCATGACAGCGTAATATCATCAGAGACTCCCCCACACTCACGTCCTACAAGAAATCCCTGAAAACTCACCTTTTCATCACTGCCTACAACCACTGACTCTCATTCTCTTCCCTCGACTCTACTTCTATCTTGTATTGTTCTCTTAGTTTTTGCTTAGTTTTTTTTTTTTCCTGTCAAAGGGTCTTTGATTATTTAGAAAAGTGCGATATTAATCTAATTTATTATTATATTATCATAATGTTCTGACGATCAGGTCCCTGTTTTGTTTTTATAACCTGCTCTAACAGCACATATACAGGTTGCTATACTACAAACCAATGTGGCATAAAAACAACCCTCATTATGGTGTTGTGAGTTCAACTGATCAACAGTGTGACGCACATAGAAACACTGTTGGCACATGGCTACAAGTCATTGTGTAAAATTGGTTTAATAAGAAAGTTAATACAACAGCTTATTTTCAGTAACACATTAGCACATTTTTTCTTTCAAATACATCTCTGTGTGAGGACTGTCATTCAGACCAACCAGGGTAAGAATTTGTACTTTTAAAGCTCAGGTGTATAAACACAATCCGGCCTTGGTGGCCAAGATGAAGTTCTTTAAGCTTGTATAATGTCCATTTATATATTAGGTAATTAAAGTTCCAAAATGTAAGATGTCTTCTGAATTAAATAATAAAATGACCTTATTATATCAGGCATTAAAGAAACATGCAATGTTGAAAAGCTGGTGACATAAGCTTATATAAGTGGCTTATATATCCTCCTCTTAAGTTTCGATTCCTGTGGGGAATTTTTTGCTTTTTGTTTTGACCAGAGCAGTAGGTGGTTATACGGCACGCCCACCCTCAGTCTGCCAAACAAACAGCAAACCAACAGGTGTTCCAACGATGAAAGCGGGCAAGCAAAGTGGTTCACATAAAATAACTGATTCTACCTAACCTAAAAAAAGCCTCAGCATTTTCTATAAAGCACCGCAACCAGAAACGTGGTCAAACTAAGATAAATATTTGAGATGCTTTTAAAAAAATGTAGAGAGGTTAGAATGCAGAAAGGTCTCAAGACGAGTGCAGAGCTGGCTAAACAATGAAGCGTTTGTGTCCCTGACATAACAACCTGCGTGCACTTTGACTTTAGGGATCGGGGGCGGGGGGAGACAGCTCTCTTAAATGTCATTTTAAACGCTAGGTGTCAAAGTTACATATTGCTCTTTTTAAAAAAAGGGAAAACGCTAAACCCATGAATACATACAAGTCGATAACGGCCCCTCTGGCGCCACAATTACTTGACGTCATCGTCTTCTTATTCTTGGAGATCTTTTTTTAATACAGACAATAAAAAAGCAAAACTTTAAAATCCACCAACACCCATACTGTCACAAATACATGTAGGTGGAGAATCAATCTTGCCGGGCAGCATTCACTCACTCCATCATATGAAGGAGGGATTACATCACACCCTGTTACTGACAGCCTGAGCTCATGACTGGAATCAAAACACAGTGAAAGACGTCTAACTAAGAAGCTGATGACTAATCTTGAAGCTAAGAATAGTGCTCAATTAATTCTTGACAGCAAATTAATTTTTGATTAGTCAGAGCAATCGGCAAATTTAGGGAACCTCCTAGCCATGCACAGTGAAGCTCTGTTTTTAACAGACTTTTGTCCAATTTAGTTCTTGAAATGTGTTTCTGTGTCTCAAATAACAAACAGGCATTCATAGAAGACACAAATATGTAACAATCAATCAATTAATCAATCTTTGTTTGTATAGCGTCAATTCATAACAAGTGTTATCTCGAGACACTTTACAGGGGAAGCCGTCCATCAACGATCCTGAAACACTGAAATACAACAATTCACAGACCAAGCTGAAGGACAGGATGGATTCAAAATACTTCCAAACGTCACATATCCTAGCCTACTACTTATTGAAAATCATACTTTACATCAGTGTGAAAATATAGGTCATATGTGTTAATCTCTCCATCTGTTTCTTCCTTACATTAGAGCAGCTCAGACATCAGAGGTGGATGATTGGTGGATTAATAGGTCATCACTCTTACTGGTTAATACACTCACATCCTGTGTAAGTTTCATATATTTACCAATCAGTCAAAAGTCCTCAGGTAAAAGTGAAATCACTGCATTCAAATCTTGTTTGTGTTCCTTTTCATTATTAGGATAAACCATTTCATGACTAGGATAAATTGTAGTTGTTTGCTGTGGTTCTCTGCCGCCCACACAGAAAGAGTAACTTTTGGCTGAGTGAGTAAATGATGACTGCTTGGGGCGTGGTTACATGAAGCTGTCATTTATTTGGAAGTTAATTTTGTACATCTGATCAAACTGATTTGTGTCATGAAGACACTTCTTCACCATGACCTGGCATGTTTTTCTCTCTAATTAGATTTTTTTTTTCTAGATTCCTCATTTGGTTCCAGAATTGTGAATTAAAATAATGCTTGTACAAAACGTAAAAAGTGAATGTGCTATTTTTATATGAATTCTTCTTTAATTTGAAATGATGCCATTCATAAAATATCTATTAGAACGGTGTGAGCACGAGGCCATAATGGCGGTCAAAGTTATATTTAATGGACAAAGCTTTAAAAAAATAAAAAATAAATAAAAGAGTTCAAAACAAATACTCATCTAGTTGCTCCACCAATGATGGACTTGTTGTTGGTTATAGCTGGTAGAGTAATGGTGGTCCATCTATTGGATTAGTAAAGGGATTTCACTGTGGTATTAATCTGAGAAGACAGCAGGCGACCCAGGCTGGGCTCACACTGATCTGTTGTGTCTCTCTCTGTCACTCTGTTGCTTCCATCAGGGAAAACGGAAACAACGAGGACACGTCTCAGCCATAATGAACCTTTTCTGCTTTTCACTGGTAAGACTCACTTTGATTGCTGCATCTTTTTAAAAAAAAAGCTGTTTGTGAGCTGCAACAGGAAAGAGAAGTTAGCCCTGTGAAGCAAGTGTTAGCTTGTTCACAGGCAACACTTTGCATCTGTGTAACTAAGACAATGCTGTGTTAGTATAATGTAAACACAAGTGCTACTATGTGTGTTACTAAGTGGGTAAATATGTACAAGCTTCTTATCACAGTTATTCAACCTTTAAATGAACAGTACAAAATCTCCAATACTGTAGCCTTAATGAGATTCCTGTGTTTCATTCTTGATTTGCTTTGATATTCATAACTTGGTATATGTGTCAATGATTGTGCATTTATATCTTAACTGTCTCAAAATGTAAAAGAACATAATGAAACATCACCTGCTTTTTGATTGAACTTAACATGCACATACCACATGAGTTAGTGTTAGACAATAGAACCATGTTGGTGTACTTCAACGCTGTAAGATATGCTGTTGTTATTATTTTTAGAGATAATAGAACAAGGAATAACAAAAGCATTGTCAATAGAGCATCAACAGCAAAGACAAGCTTTTGATGGCAGTCACATGCACCTCTCACGCATATGGTCCCTCAGATGCTGCTGCAGCTGTCATGCTACACAAGGCCATACGGACATGCAGGACATTTTCTTAAGACAGATGTTGATCAGTAATCAGGATTATTACCTCATGTCTTCTTCAAATAAACAGAGGCTTGAACAGTGATTGCACTGATTTAATTCTCTGTTGCTTTTGTTTCATACCCCATGAACAATAGCATCTTGTACAAAGAGTAACTAATTTGTTAAATACTTAAAAGATTACATTTTGGAAGTTTTTGTTTTGTTTCATTTGGTCATTTGTGACATCCAATTTCTTTTTACAAATCTGTCAAAATGTAGATAATGAGACCATCATGGATACATAGCGAGACCTGAAACCTACTGTGATAGTAGATGTACTAAACCAATAATAATTGTTTGCTGTCAGTCCAACACAGAGATATAGCAAGACGAGGTGGATAAAGAGAGACATTGCAATGCTTTCCAAGGAGAAATGCAAACACGATTTAATCCTCACTGAAATCTGTTCTGAGGAAATTCCATCCTTGCCTTCATCCGTGGTTGACAAGCACATTTTAAAGAGCTTTGTAGTGTCATAATTCTATACACATACCAAATCCTCAAAACTCTCATGTTGATGGATTGTGTGTCTGTCTCGTTATTTAGGTTTCTTAATGTGATGCTCTGGGGGGGAGTCATTCAAATATAAAGTGATGTCTGTGCCCTACAGTTGTGGAGCTAAATGAAGGATAAATGGTCATTATACAACATGGAATTTCCTCCCACTGACACAAACCTGCTCGATATGTCAACAGTGGTGTGTGCTTCATCATAAATACACATAGCACTGAATCCAACAGATTAGATTAAACACATTCATGAATTGCTCCTGCTGCTAATGTGGCTGTATCACAGTTTGACAGATTTTGGCTCTCTGCGTGTTCACAGGAGGGGTCTATGGACAGCCTGTATGAGGTGGTACAGAACTCCGGTGATGGTCCACAACTGCCCATCCCCAGCCGCTCCTCCAGTCGCTCATGCAGCCGCTCATGCAGCCCGGCGGTCCTTCTGGATGACAACACAAAGTGGAGAGGGTCTGGAAGGTCTATATCTATGGTGAGGAACACCTTTTTCCTCTTCTACACATTGTTAATGATGGCCCATATAAGCAATCATTACAAAACTGTATGGGACTGTAATGGAATTTACCTATAAAACAAAGATGAATAGATGAGCCAGTTGATGGATGCTGCTAAGGCCAGGAGGTAGAGAATTTTAAATACACTCCACTCGATCTCCAAACTCCATGTGATCTGCAGAGTCCCTCTGCACCTTTAAGAAAAAGCTAAAGAGCCAGCTCTTTCATGAATATCTACTAACTTAATGATGATGGTCTCCATATTATTGATGATGATGATGATGGTAATGACGATGGTTTTTGTTTGATAACGACGACTTATAAGATGGTTTCTATACTGATTAGAGCTCTCAAGAACTGCCCTCAATGTTATGCTTTGCCTCTGGTCACTTCCTGTCAGCACCTGTGTGTCCAATCAGACTCAAAGCTGATCGTTTGCTCTTACTGACATTGTTCCCTTTTTTCTAGATCCTTGCTTGTGTTGTTCTTTCTCTCTGATGTACGTCGCTTTGGATAAAAGCATCTGCTAAGTGAATTGTAGAATTGTAGAATTGTAGTCTTATTAGATAATTAAGTGTCAATAAAACTACATAGATGTATCTTAATATGTGTCTACAAAATACGACAATGTTTATTTTTATTTATTTTTTAATATATCTAGTTAAATGCTCTGATTTCTCCCAGGAGATGCCTCAGGGGAAGAACTCTAATAAAAAGAAAAAAAGGTGAGTTCCCCTAATGGTTAGATGTGAACAGTCAAATGGACAATGAATTATAAATGGACAATGGACAATGAATTATATGAACTGTAATCCTGCCTGTCATTCTGCCTTCTGTGTGCCCTTGTTGAACTGTACAGCCTTCTTTTGGATTCTTTTATTGGATGTGCGTGCAGTGAAAGTCTTCCATGCTAGTGAATGAGCTTTCCCATATATGGCTTGAAAGGCTCCCTGTTTGTTGTCACAGAGGGTTAATACTCTAAATCCTTTCCAGCAGCGAAGCAGACCGGCTCTTCAGCAGCAGTCCTAATCCTTAACATTTTTAATTAACAAGACAATGCTTTTAGAAGAGGGAGCTGTAACCTATTTACAGCAATAATTAAACTATCTTTACATTGTTAGGTTGGATGTGTACCTTTTGTTTTGAGAATCAGGGACCTGCAGACTGGCCACCAGAAAGCAGCTTATGGCTCTGGGCTTGTTGGACTAAGAGGATTGAAGGCCCACCTACTTAAAGCCCACAGTCGCCTCAACACCTTTTCTTCCCTTATTTCACTTAAAAAGACACATAGGTGTGTCTCAGTGAACATGAAAAGTAGATCATGCATTCAAACTGAGAACCATAGAGCAGACAAACGACTATATTATATTATGAGACTTCAGCGGTTACCCTTCCGTAATGTGTTTTTGTTTTCGCATTAGGTGACTGTTAGACATAGAAGCAGTTACACCTGTGAGTTGAAACACATCTACTCAAAACAGTTAAATGGAACCGCAGATGATTATTTTTTTCATTTTCCTTTCAGAACACATATATCCAAGTCTGTATCAGATAATGAAGCACTTGGTGAGTACAAACAATTGTCTTGTTTTGTTGATGCGGTATTAAGGCACGCTTAGCTTCAAAAAGATGAGTGTGTGTGTGTGTGCCATCCATGTATATTCCTGGGTTTGTCTGTAAAAGGTTTGTGTGCTTGTGAAGTCTGCAATAGAACATTTGAAATTACTTTTCATCATTTCATTTTTAAAATTTTCTTCTGAATATAGATATTGTGTTCATTTGTGTTTTATTGTAATAAAATATAGTATAGTTGCCAAATACTGAAAACTTTGGCTCTATGAGGCCTTCAACATGAATCCTCTGGAGGACTAAAGTAAAAGCATTCAGCTTTGTAAAAGCCTGAATAAATATCTTCTTGTCTGTAATAATCTACTAGCTGCATGTCCGTGACTTAGAAAACAATTTGTGTGACCTCCATTCACTGTGCCTCTTCACTTCAAATCCTCAATGTTTGCGATTGATATCCCTTCACAGCAGACTGTAATACCACCGTCTGGCAGCCTGCCAAGAGCCGAGAAGATTTAGTCCACATCACCAACAATCACAATGAAGGTAAAGAGCAAATAAATAGGTCAAACACATCCATGGTATATTTCAATGTCTGTTTGGACTATAGTATCTCCAGCTATTATATTTCATCATGTTAAAATAGCCTTCAAAGATTGTGCATAATATTAAACACAAAGGCCTTGTCTTGGGATTTGTGCGTATTAGAATAATGATTTTACTAGTGAGACATTTCAAGATATTACATGATAAAGTGCAGTATGTTATATCGGATAGGTTCAAAGAATGTCTGGGAATATAAACAAAAGAAGTCACTGTGAGAATATCCGTGTCTCATATTGTCTGTGGGACTTCTGTAGAGAAACTACAGTAAAAGTCTACTTCAGCGTTCATGTGGGCAGCTGCTATTGTTTTAAGAAAGTTTTGAAAATAGGAAACCTGTCCTCCGATCCATAACATTACAGAAAAAAATGAATGAATCAGCTTATTAAATTACTGATTGGTCAAGGTTTTGCTTTTGCTTTTGGTTAACCAGTGTTTTGCTAACTTAATGAGATATCCTAAATTCTTGTGCCTCTCTAGAGACGAGGAGGGCTAAACACAGAGCAGAGACCAAAGAAGGGAAAGGAGCACATCATTCTGCCACAAAGAAAAAGGAGAAAGCCCCCTCAAGTCAGGTCAGGATCAAAACCATAACCTGGAGTCTTTAGGCCAACTGGATATCTTAATCAATCAATATGTTTTCCTTCCCTTTCTTAATTTGTCTAGTGTCGCATTACAGAGGTATGTAAGGGAATGAAGTGTTGGTGACAAAAGTAAAATAAGGATGGAGTGGAATACTTTTGAGATTAGTAGCAGTAAAGACAAAGAGGGTTGTGCAGGAACATGCTTTTGTGTAAGTGACTTCTGTTTAAAGTTAAGGGAGCTCGCACAGATGCATCAAACCCAGGTTTGGAGCATCTGTGTTAAACTGATGTTGGTGCAAGTGCAGATTCATGGTCAGATGTGTCAACGTGCCATTTTGTGTCCAACTATGACTTTTCAAGCCGATCCCTGACTGTGACATCCAGAGCTAGGATTCTCTGGTGGCCATAATGGTGCAATTGTTTTCCATTGTCAATGCTGATTGGGTTTTAATACGGCACAGATGTTCCAGAGAGGGTACTGCATAATCTCACAACCACATGGCAGGGAGTATTGTGTTTGCAAAATGAGGACTTCTGTGTTTTATGCAGGGAGGTTTAGAGGCCTTATCCCCCAGTCAACCAGTGGAAAAACAAAACAAAGGTCAACAATTGTTGATCAGCAGCTCTCTATACCTCACTATGTCACTATTTTAGTAAAAGGACCAATGACCTGTTGGATCTGGTAGAAGAAAATATTTTGGAAATAATCTAAAAAAAAAGGAATACAGTAGGCTCTGAAGTGACATCATACTCACATCAAATGATGGGGGGGATGTGGTTTAGTGGGAGAGAAGCTCATCTCTCAACTTGAAGGTTGCAGTCACATGTTGAAGTGTCCTTGGGCAAGACACTGAACCATATTGCTCCCGACATGTCAATGTGTATGAATGGGTTTAATTACAGCCTTTGCCATCCGTGTGTGAATGTGACCTGTGGTCTTTGAGTGATCAGAATACAAGAAAATGCTATACAAGCTTCAGTCCATTCACCATTTAACATCAGTATGTTGTCAAACAGAACTGTTATTGTCTAAGCATTGTTAGCATGATTATATTCATGTGTTAAGCCGAAATAATTTCTACCATGTTCACCATCTCTATTTCAAGATGTAGCATGCTATTATGTAAAAATTCTCCAATGTATGTTTGGACCTGATGGATTGCACCAAATAGTAAGTGATTGGGATTTCCAAAGTTATGCATGACAGGTACTATAGGCAATTTGGAAATTCTGTACCAAATCACATAGCACACATAAATATTTTAATGGAAATAAAAAAAGTCCACCAAGAGGGTGGACCTTGAGAAGAATATCTTACGGCAAAAAAAATTAGATGAGTTTTTTGTTGTAATTTTACAGAGTATCCACACCACTGGTGTGACTACAGAAACTAAACCTCCTGTCAAAAGAGGCCAAAAGCCTGGAAAGAAAGCAACTGGAAAGAGTGTAAAAGAAGCACCAAAGAAGACTCAAAACGCCACAGGTGAGACAGATAATGTCCTTTATGACCTCAATAGCAATGTGTATGACTCAGTGACCAAGCTATGACTGGAGCTATGACTGGAGCAGATTTGTGCTTAGCAGCAGAATTGGCCTGTGCAGTATTTTGCTAAATCGAAGTAACTCTAGTTCATGACTTTCCTGCTCTGATGAATACTAAATTATACTTCCGCTTTCAAGTGTTGCAACCATTCATGTAGCTTTCTGCAGTGTCCCTACAGTATAGACACACAAAGGGGTGCTTCAAATGGAACAGCAAAAATCAAAAACTAGGAGTATGGGTTACAGAGGCAACCCTTACTTTGCTATTTTGATATTTTATTGTACTCTCTTTGATTGTTTTTAGGATTTGTGAAGGGTAACATTTGCAAACTTTCTTCTTCAATGAAAATTCTGGAGCAATAAAATATCAATAAGAACTTTTGTTATTGCAGGGTAAATGTTTAGGGACAGACGACGTCATTCCTCTGCATTTTCACATAAATTGGTACAACACACAGAGGGGATGTGAAAATGCAGAAATATGAATTCAAACGATTGTTAAATGATAATATTTCATTAGAATTTTTTCGGCCTTCTTTCAGTGCACTCCCAATCATGTGCAATGATCCAACAAATGGGACCCCAGTATTTGGACGTGCCATTCAGGTCAGACCGGAGGCCGTACCTGGGCAAGTCCTCCACCCTCCCCTCTCAGGAGAACACGACCCCAGGCAGGTGCACAGACATGCTCACCCTCCCTGGTGGAGCTACACCCACCCACACCCACCACCAGCGTTGGAGCAGCCCGGGTGACAGTAGTCCTGCCTGGGGGACCATCCAGCACACCTGCCGCAGGCCGCTTACAGAGTACCGTGTGTACTCCCATGACTTAACCGCGCTTAATGGGAAGGACTGGGAGGGAGGACAGCAGACAGGGACGGCCCAGGATGACGGCCTACAACAGGACTGTAAACCACAGATCCCTCCAAAGGTGTCGCGATCTATCACAGATGTGGATCTGTCAAAACCAAATGTAAGTTTCTGCTGATGAATTATGAAACCATGTTTTAATCCTTTCTATACAGGCCTGTCTGATGCATCTTTTTGCTCCATGCACATCAGACTTTTTTTGTCTAACTACTTTTCTTTCCTTTGTAAAGCATTTTATCTCTTCATGTTTTTACATTGTGTGTGTGTACACATCATTTAAGTCTATTCTTAAAAATACAGACTGTGTCTGCCTCCTGGACCCCGGCTGGAAGGCGATTCCAGAGGAGAGGAGCCCGATAACTGAAGGCTTTACCTCCCATAGTACACTTAGAGACTGTAGGTAACACCAGCAGGCCTGCACTCCGGGACCGCAACGCTCTCGAGGGACAGTACGGCACTAGTAGCTCCTTAAGATAAGATGGTGCCTGGCCATTTAGAGCTTTGTAGATAAGATAACTCAACAGTGTCGATGACTTCACAGGCCAGGTTCTTTGCGTGAGCATTGAGATCTCTCGAGGCATTGGATCGCTGCTAAAACCCAGTGAGCACGTGCAGCCTTTGACACGAAGCAGTTTGAAGAGCTCAACATGACTTAGGAGAAAGTTAACTGGGATGAAAAGGATGATCCGAAGTAGAGATTACAAGATCCCTATGGATCTATAGTGTCATTGGTTCTTAAGGACAAAACTGTGGTTTCACTGACCCCAAAGTCTCTTCAGTTTAGAGAGCAATGATGCAGAGGTTAGGACCCTCTCTTAGTACTCCCTCATGGCTTAGGAGGACTCGAGACACTGAACATAATCAAAGTCTGTTTTTCTATTTCAAATGTGCAATATTTTTCTTCTTCTCTCTGTGAGATTGTTAAAGGCTTTATTTGTGATTTCTTTGATCCAGCAGATGTCGCCCTTGAGCACCAGCATGAAACCAAAACAACTTGCGCTGCATTGTTGTGTTAGCATGCTAATGCTAGCGATCTTTATTATGCTCGTATCTTCACACTGCATGTAAATTTACCTGAAATGAGCGTGATCTAGAAACACAGTTAATCAGTGAGTACAGTATGTTATTCTTCTTTTCTCTAGTCCCTCAATTAAACAACTTTTATACACGAGGGGAGGAGTCAGCCGGCCGTGCCGGCGATGTAAACAAAGTGAAGATAGGACTCTGAAAACTCTGAAAACATCACAGACAGTGGGACTCGGGTGTTACACCCATTGTAGACAGTCATGACTCACAGAGTTATTTTCAGAGGATATACTTGATTTATATTACATTTAAGTGTGATAATACTAATGCTACTTCTACTGCTACTACTACTATACTGCTACATTTTATGTGTAGCACACTTTCAATCAATAAAAATATCTTTATTTGTGTGCTTTACATTTAAAATAATTCTCAAAGTGCTACATCATTAAGATAAGGGATTAGCACTCAGTTGGAGAAGTGGCAGACAGACATCATCTTCTTTAGATGAACGTTTTCTGCTGTTTGTCAGAAAACCTCAAGATTATCTATTTCCTGTAGAAACTCTGTAGAAAATCGAAATAATTCTATCTATAATTCAAGAAAACCACCTCTTGTACAGTGCTCGAATATATTTCAATAATCGTCAGGTGACCTTTTCACATTTTTGATATTTCATTTAAACTCTTCAGATGAACAAGCGCTTCTCCTGGGAGCCTCTGAAGTCATAGATTAGAAACCCTAATCTGGATTGACAGGAGTTTAGAGCTGATTGCAAGCAGTAGGATTAGGCAATGGCTTTGTCTTTAGAATTCTCTTTTCCACAACTGACCGATTGAGACCCCGTGATGAAAACACAGCAGCAAATCCCCACAGGGAAACATCAGGGCAATGAAGACCGACAACAAATGCAAAACAAAAAGTCAAACTGTGTCAAATCCTCAGATATATATATATATATATATATATATATATATATATATAAGGTTACAGGTGGTTTGATTGTGTTAAATGACTGACAGACATCATGTCTTAGCATTTGTTTATGATAACATGTCCTCATGTCTCTATTGAAAAGTATAAACCGGAAAATGTTTCCACATAGCAGAGCTTCCACTTTAAGCTGTTTCTCCGTCATCGACAACACTTCCTCAAAAGTCTTCACCCCACATTAAGAAATGATCGCATAAGAATAATTACTTCAGCATGATTTACCAAAAACAAGTTCCCCATTTCTGTTCAAGGGAAATTTTGTATGTATTTAATTTTATATTGTAGGGGCATTAGGATGTAACTCAAACCCCAAAACATTATCTCTCATCACAGTGTTCATTTAGGTGGTGATAAACATATGTTCATGCTCTTAAGGTTATTTTGACAAAAACATAACCACCTTCTTAAAAGCTTCATGCAGCTGTTCCTGGAAGTGGTTGTCGATGTTTTAACCGAGCAGGCCACAAAATGCATACTTAAGCACTTGTTTTTTTCCCTTTCAAAGCAAAACTGCATCAAGAGACAACATGCTAATTGCCTCACATCCTGTGTGTTGTAAGGAAGTGAGCCAGCCAGCCCATCAGACAGGCAGCCCAGAGTTAGTTAACACTTCACTGTCAGGAGAGTCGGGTTAAGAAACAAGATCTGAAGGACTGAGGTTTAATAAATACTCCAAAAACAAGGGGAACATGTTACAAAGGGCAGCATCCAATGTATCAGACAAAACAAAGAGCAGCAAGCCAAAGGTAGGTAAAAAAAATTAGGTTAGGTTATGTTAGGAAAGGTTTTGACATTTTGAAGGATCGCTAGTATCCAAATGTGATCTGGTAAATGCAAATGATTTTCTTGATAAAAGTAGCAAGAGAACAATTTATCTGTACAAATTGTAGCTGTGTTAAATGCCCTACTTTTAGAAAAGATGAAAGGTTTAAAGATTACATTTTTTAAGGATTTAAAGGTTCATTATATTTAAAAAAAACAAAATTCTAATCAAACACTAAATGACAAATGTGCATAGAGTGATGGCTTTGTTCAAATGTATCGGATAACTGGTGAATTTCAACAATGGAAAACAGACAATCAACAATGGCTTCAATCACAATAATATAATAATATAATATACTAACTGAAATCAGAGAGGTGGATATAAAAGCCTTTCATTGTGCTGCCTTAGTTTCAGGAATCACTGTAAATATCAGGCTGCTGGACAATGCTACATAAAATCAATCTACTGTGATTGAGGACTGTGCAGCTCATATTTAACCAGGATTTCCAGGGATTATTCATTTATGTAATTACTTTGGAGCTCTGCTGTGGAACTGGTGGGGAGTTTGGGGAGATTATGACTTTCAGATTTATGTTAAATTGGAAAATAAAGAAGAGAATTAAAAACTGAGGCAGAGTTTTGTAAGGACACATCATTTGTATATATCCATTTACCTACTGTTCTTTTTACAGACAAATGCCAGTCCATCTGTACACAGAGAAACACTCTCTCTGCTGCTACTGATGTGACCCATGATCCAAATGCACCATGGTCTCATTTTGAAACAGTCAAAGAACAGGCTTAATATTTGCTTTCTTTACCAGATTTATATATTTATATATGCTGTCAGCTTTTTTCTAAATGGACAGTATATGATGCTGTAGACAGCTAAATCCACTACAAATCTTTCATCATACTTCATGTAAAGATCCAGCGGGATCTTAGAGTGAAGTGAACCAGATTCTTCAAGGAGTTTGAAGAACTGAGACAGCTTGGACGAGAGCGAAAAAGAAAAACACAATGACTGAGTGCTATGTAGTATACCTATCAGTTACAGTTGCATTTCTCTAAGACGTCCTTTGTCTTTGTGTCTACCTGCAGCGCTCCACCAGCTTCGGCAAGTTTGAGGCTCTCAGACATCCGCCATCGCAAGCCAAACCAGAGGACAATGGAACAACCGTATGTGTATACTATATGAACATGGTGCACTCAATGCTTTGCTTGTTTAAAGTTAATTCCATTGACTTGATAAATTTAACACAATTGGGGGAAAACAAACAACAGACAATATTTGGAGCCAAATTTTACATTTGTTCTTTTCATCATTACTGTATTAAACCAGTTTTCTCTCCACACAGCTCATGGAAGAATGTGAGGACCCTCATAAATCAGCCGGGATTGGGAAGAAGATGAAAGCTATTTCATTGACCATGCGCAGAAAAATGGGCAAAAAACATGCCAAGTCTTTTTCAGAGGAGACAGTAAGTCACAGCCACACACAGCAAACACACACCTGCTTTAAAAAACACGTGTTATTAGTTTGATCAATCAAACTTTATTTATAAAGCGCTTTTCAGACAAATTAAATTGCAGTTCAAAGTGCATTACAAGACTGCAGAAAATTATTGACGAAAAAGTAGTTTATAAAAAAAGAGACTAATGCACACCAATAAGAATGAAAAAATAAACATAAATATGAAAAAATAAAATACGACACATAAAAGCAATGAGATATCAAAATTAATACATAGGAGAAGAATATTTAAAATTGTAGTAGGATAAAAAAGACAATACAGTAATGTTAAGAATTGAATTGATATAAAGCACTATATAAAAGCCAGACTGAATAAATGAGTTTTAAGACTGCGTTTAAAAATCTCAATATTCTCAGCTCCTCTCAGACCCTCAGGAAGGTCATTCCACAGTCTCAGAGCGTAACAGCTGAAAGCAGCATCACCAAAGGTTTTTGTCCTGCTTTGTGGAACAACTAAAAGAGAGGAACAGAAGGCTTGTTGTTGTCTAGGTTTTTCATCATTAACTACTTTTAGCAGGGCCGTCTCAGTGCTGTGGCGTGCCTGAAAGCCAGATTGAAACATTTCTAATGTAGTGTTTGAGGTTAAAAAGACACTCAACTGATTAAAAACTAACTTCTCTAAAAGTTTGCTTAAAAATGGCAGGTTTGAGATGGGTCTAAAATGACTAGGGATGGGATAAAGCTGTTGATCATTCACACCACAAACAGGTTGTTGGGTTCAGATCTCTGTTTTGGAACAGAAGTCAACAACTTGTCAGAACAATAAATGAAATAACCCCCATAACACCTCTTTAAGACCAGACTCACTGCCAACCAGCCTCACATACTTTTTGTCAAGAGGCTTATCACTTTCATCATTTTCTAAACCCACATCCTCAAAAGTGACGCTGTTGCTGACAATCTTTAAATGATGAGCCTCACTCTGACCTAAAACTTGTTATTGTAACACAGATGGAGAAGAAATCTTTGAGTCACTTTGAAACTTTTGCAGCCCACGCTTCATTCTGAAAATCCCTGTTAGTTTCTATTTACTGGAGAGCTTAATAAAGAAATGTGCACAGTTTTATACATTTCATCAACAACTGATTATACAGTTTGAAGGGTTGTACTTATAGGTATTTTTAATGTCATGATGTCTATTGTTGTCCTCTTAGGGTGATGACACAGACAAAGAACCAGAGGCAGAGACAGAGAGCAGCAATCCTCCTGAGAAAAACCCAACAAAGACCAGCAACTCCTTAGAAAGTCTCTACAGTGGACAGAGCTCTTCAAGTAAGTCTCTGCATGTTCTACACTGCAAGGCTGCAGGAAAGAATTCTTATTTGTTTTCACAACATATCATGATTTATCTGTGTTGTTATATTATTAACCCACAAAAAGTGGATTTTTGACACAGTGTAATCACATTGTGGTTGTGTTCATGGGTGTTTCAGGTGGTGTGACCAGTGAGTCCAATGGTTCTGGTCAGAGGGACAGCCTGAGGCTGGAAGAGGACGGCTCCTATCAGGGTCAGTTCTGTGGCAGAGCTCGCGTCCACACAGACTTTGTTCCAAGTCCGTATGACACAGATTCCCTCAAACTCAAGGTAAGACACTGGACAACAAGAAGAAGAAAAGGATCACTCGAACAGAACAAGATTTATATTACTCTGATTAGAAAGATGTTAAATGTTCTGAATGAATAGAACATGAGGAGCACAATTATAAAAGTTCACTGTGATGTTTTCTAGGTCGGTGACATCATCAACATCATCAGTAAGCCTCCAATGGGAATCTGGACCGGCATGCTGAACAACAAAGTGGGCAACTTTAAATTCATATATGTGGACATTTTGGTGGAGAAAGGTGAAGAGGAGGAGGCTCCCAAAGTCAGACAACAGAAGTTGAGCAAAAGACCTCGGCCTAAAACATTGCTTGAGTTACTGGAGCGACTGAATCTTCAGGTGAGGAAAAAGATCCACCCACCTACCGCCTCCCACTTTATTTAGTTTGAGTGGGAGACAGAGACGTTAATATTTTCCAAATGTAAACACAAAGATGCAAAAAGGTAAACATTCTTACATTCTAGTTAACTAGAACAAAACCTTTGTGAACACTGACAAGCTTCATCATGAAACTTGATGAAGTTTCAGGTTGTGAAGAAACAGAAGGTGAATGTCTCTCGTTGTTGCAGGAGTATGCCTCTGCCTTGCTGCTGAATGGATATCAGACGGTGGAGGACTTGCTGCACCTGCAGGAGAAACACCTGATAGAGTTGAACGTCAAAGACCCAGAGCACAGACACAGACTCCTGGCTGCTGCTGAATGCCGCTACACGGAAGGTGAGCAACACTTCAAGCACCTGCTGTCACTTACATCGACTTTACAGATCACTTCTATCTATCTGTTTTTACACATTTACTGATCAGTGGTTATTACATAGATAGATAGATAGATAGATAGATAGATAGATAGATAAATAGATAAATAGATAGATAGGTAGATAGATAGATACTTTATTGATCCCGAGGGAAATTCAAAGCATCCAGTAGCAGGTTACAAAGACGTACATGACATAAAACATTTGTTACAAATTAAACCACAAAACCGACGCCCCCCCATACATATATATTAACCTGAAAAAAATATTTGAGAATACTAGATGAATCAAACTTAAACTGTGCAATTAAAAATAGATTTATACAAGAAATGTACATAACCCGTGCAGGGATAAAAATATATGTGAGATTTAAACAAGAACCTATAAACAGTTGAGAAAAAAAAATTGAAGTTGTTATTTACTAGTGTCCTGTAGCCCACGATAATCTACTAATAAGAGCAAGTTTAGAGTAGGCAAGGTGGAATCTTCACTAGGATGTTTACTATATTGAGATGAGATGAGATGAGATTCAACTTTATTGTCATTACACATATACAAGTATAGAGTAACAAAATGAGATTTGGCATCTCACCAGAAGTGCAAATAAGCAGAAAGTGCAAGAGTCTGTGCTATGTACAGTAATTACAAAATTTACAGATGTGGACAAAAAAAAGTGAATTATTGGGTATATATGGCTGGATTAATGGGATGCTATAAATATAAATAAATGCTATAAATACAAGTATATTCTTCAGATTATAATATACAGATTAAGGTGCAGTGAGCATGCTATACTAGTTTACAGATAATATACAGAATATGGACATATTGTACAGGTTGATAACTTATTGAGGTGATATTAACATACTATAATACAATAATACAGGTGGATGAGAGATGTGTGTGTGTGACCAGGAGGAGTGGTGGGGGGATGATGGGTGTGAGGTGATGTGCAGGGGGGTCAGCGGGGGGCGGAGTTCGGGAGGGAGACAGAGTTCAGAGTTCGGTGGGCAGAGTTCAGTAGAGAAACAGCTCTGGGGAAAAAGCTGTTCCTCAGTCTGCTGGTTCTGGTCCGAAGGCTTCTGAAGCACCTACCGGAGGGCAGGAGGGTAAACATTCTGTGGGCAGGGTGGGAGGATCTGCGAGAGACGTTGGGCCTCGCGATGCACTCGCGCCGCCATCTTGGTCTATTTACTGCAATGCCCCCATGTTTCCTGTCTATAACACATCTCTAAGTGTCAAAACACAAACTTGGTGTTGCCTTTTTACAATCCTCTGCATGTTTCTGTGACAGATCACAGAATGCATTTATCAAACAAAAAGGTGTTCTACGTCTATAGTTCACATGCCCAGCCTCAGAGATTGTTCAGCCAATCAGGAATGAGTATTTAAGAAAGCTTTGAGACAAATATTTGTATATAACAGAATAACTCTTATGAAGCTGTAAACAAGCGAATAACCTGTTTTTCTGTTCAGTCGTTCTTTTTGACTGAAAGTAAGTTCATCCACTGTACCAAACAATATAAGTGCATCTTTTCGTTCTTTCATTGCTATCACTTACTTTGGAAGTTATTTGAGAATACAGTTCTGCCAGAGCCTAAAAGGGGGATTTTATATTCGGAACACCAGGTTCAGAAACATTTGAACAACACAGAAAGAAAGAAGGCTGCTACATCCTGTGTGCAAAAAAACCCCGCTGATTTCCAGTTAGTCAGATAGAAAGTGCTTAATCAGGCAGAAGGTGTTCCTGTAATCAGATGTCTTAAAGCGGAAGGCTGATCATCAAAGATCCTGCATGGATGAAAATAAAACAACCGTTTAGTGTGAAAGTAGAACACTCACTCTTTCTTTTTTTTTACCACAGTTTTTGTACAAATGAAAGTTCATTGTGCATGTGTTTGTTTTGTTGACAGCATGACTTAACAGATGGCAGCACCAATCCTGCCAAGCTTATTGTTGACTCTCATTAGATGCCAGGAATTTAATCAACTCCATTAGGGTTAGAGGTTTGTTCAGCCTGGACACGAGGATTAGCAGCTCAGACAAGAGGAGTCAAAATATTAAAGAATGGTGGAATATTTTTATCCTCTGGAAAGGAAATGAAGGTGAGAGATAAAATGTAAGGTACGGTGTGGTAAGGAAAAGATGTTATATGATGCTGTTTGCTGGATCACCTGTTGTTTGGTTCATTAACACTTGGCCCTGTTGTAAATAATGTACTGTGTCACAATATGAAACAATTTAAATATTACACATTCAGATATTGTTTCCACTTAGCACAAGGTTAAAGAGCCTCTTGTGCAGTCTCTAACAGAAACTTGTGATATCATGACATCTGGTTTGATTCCATTCGTTTTGTCGACGCAGGTGATGATGTCAGAGAAGGTGAAGAGCAAAAACCCTCAAACAGTCAACAGGAAGAAGACAGCGACTGTCCCAGAGACTCGGGCTGCTTCATCCCGTCTGAATGTTCCGACAGCAAAGAGGAAACAGAGCAGCTCACAGACGCAGTGGGCTCTTAATCAGATGGCTTATCAGATGGATACTTAACTTCTGAGTGATGACTGGTGTTCTGGACATCAGTCATCACTCATCTTAATTATGTGTCACTTTATTTAGATAAAGATCAAGTTGTAAGTTATGACTTCTGTATTTTTTTTTATTAGGATATGGTATTAAAAAGTGATATTTCAGTGATTAAATATTGCTTGTATATTTCAAATTGTATATATTTGAGTGTTTCTCCATATAAAGCCTTTATTTATCAAATCTGCATCTCTTTGACCTTTTTCTTTAAATCCAATTTAACATCCAGTGTAATGTATTTCTTTCCTATGATTGAGGGGACCTCGGTGAACTCGTGTTGTGTCATGGTTCTAACAGTGCAGAATCAAAGCTGGCCTATAATATATAGGTAAAGATGGGTCTGTTCTTTGAATGTGTGTGTCTGGATCAGGGTGTGTGTGTGTGTGTGTGTGTGTGTGTGTGTGTGTGTGTGTGTGTGTGTGTGTGTGAAAGAGTCACTGTTCAGAGCATTCAGCTGTTTTCATTTTTCTTTAAAAGTTACTGTCAACATTTTTTTTCTTTGTCACTCAGAATTATAGATTTTATGTACATATATCCAGTATTATATGTGTTCTTGGTGCCTAAATACCCATGACTGAAATATGATATATACTTCACATTATTACTGTTGATGTTATTGTTATTATAATTGTTGCTACATGAATTATATCGTTTTGTAAGACTAAATGTTCAAATAATAAATACAATATTTTTTATAACCAAGATGTTTTGATTTAGTTATAGTACAATTGTATTTGGAGAACTGAGCTGAGCTAATGCTTTCTGGTGGTAAGCTAAGCTTTTTAAAATGTGTTTATTAACACTTGTGTCTTGCTCAAGGGCACCTCAGGAGTGCCCAGGAAGTGAACTTGTACCTCTCCAGCTGCCAGACCATTTCCAGATTTGCTCCACACTGAAACTTGGACCTGTACAGTGGTGGTTCTAGACCACTTTTACTGAGGGGGCCAAACTGGGGCCAGTTGTTTTGTGGTTGTTTTGTGTTTCAGTATGTGTTATTAGGGGTCTCTTCCTTTTGGAGGGGTGGCCACGGGGGGACCAAGCTCAGTGTTACAGGGGCACTGGCCCCTGTTGGCCCCTGCCTAGAACCGCCCATGGACCCGTAACCCTCCAGTTCTCTACCCAAGTCCCTGCAGACTGAGCAACTGTGCTATATTGTCTCAGTTAATTAATTAAGTGATGGACAGTTGGTAAGGAGTCAGACTATTTAAAAAATAATAAATAATTGAATAAGATAGAGCATATTTTCCATCTTATCTGGGTAAAAGTACGACAGTAAATCAAATATCATCAAACTCTACACCCATCTTAAATGTATTTCTTAGAAACCAAAACTTTCTAACATAAATCCGGTGAAATAAAACATGAGACCGCTTCCTTCTGTCTGGTTGGCTGAAGACATGGTTACGTCATGAAACTTCCGTATTACGTTGCAATGTCGCTAGGAGTGATGGGTAGTGAAGTAAAAAGGCAACATGTACTTCCAGCAACGTCCACAGAACAACTTCCGTAAGAACTACATTACCCAGGATTCACAAGTCCTCACGTAGAGTTGACGTGTAGTTTGTTGGTGTTCTGAAAACTTCCCTTCTGCTTCACTCAGTTGTGAAACCGGACATCATTTAGCCCAGTATCAGATACATTTTAGGAGTTGATTGGTTTCGGAACCTGGTCTGATAATGTCCGGAGAAATATCCATGATTGGTAAGTTGACAGCCATCTTTCTTTTCTCTCGGTGCCGCCGTGATGCTCACACATGAACTAAATGGACTGGTCCACCTGTCATTGCCGTGCTACAGGTTCGGTGATTCTGGCCTTGTTCCTGGCTGGGTATCTGGGCCAGCAGTATTTACCACCCCCAAAACCGAAAGTGATCGGCCTGGACCTCGGGACCACTTTCTGTTCTGTCGGGGTCTTCCTGCCGGGCAGCGGGGAGGTAGAGATCATCAGAGACCAGGAGGGACGGAAGAGCATCCCGAGCGCCGTCTCTTTCACCACCACAGAGGTGCTGGTGGGACACGAAGCCGTGGACCTGGCGAACTGCAACCCACAGAACACCATCTATGACGCCAAGAGGTTCATAGGAAAAGCATTTGAGTCTGAGGTCCTGAAGGAGGAGAGTGCTCGCTATCCATTTAAGGTGGGTCATCCCGGGACAAGAACACAACATGTGTATTTAAAACGTGTGTATCTGTTGTGGGGGCATTTGAAAAACACAGGTTGACCCATGAGCTGTGGTTCCCAGCATTGTTTCTTTAGACCCAACCAGCAATCAGTACAAATATTTAATTCTACAATTCACTTAGCAGGAGCTTTTATCCAAATCAGAGAGTAAGTACAACACAAGCAAGGATCTAGAAAAAAGGGAACAATGTCACTAAGAGCAAACGATCAGCTTTGAGTCTGATTGGACACACAGATGCTGACAGGAAGTGACCAGAGGCAAAGCACAACATTGAGGCAATTCTTGAGAGCTCTAATCAGTATAGAAACCATCTTATAAGTCGTTGTTATCAAACAAAAACCATCGTCATTACCATCATCATCATCAATAATATGGAGACCATCATCATTAAGTTAGTAGTATTCATGAAAGAGCTGGGTCTTTAGCTTTTTCTTAAAGGTGCAGAGGGACTCTGCAGATCACATGGAGTTTGGAAGTTCATTCCACCACCGGGGGGCGACAGAGGAGAAGAGTCTATTCCTTTCATTGGCAGAGCGTAGAGGGTGGGAGGGAGTGTAGACCTGGATCAGAGAGTTAAAGTAAGGAGGAGACGTTTTTGTCTCTGTTTTGTAAGCGAGCAGCGATTTAAAGCATCACATTTTGATCCATTCATTTTCTCACAGTGGAGTCATTGATTAACTTCACGTAGCTCCTCTTGAAATAAACAACAATACATATTTAGATGCCCGCTTTGCTTTTATTCATGTTAACATTCCCTCCTCACTGTTTCCTGTCTCTCTCCCAGGTGATGAACAACAATGGAAGTGCAGAGTTTGAGATCTTCACCAACCACACCTTCACTGTAACACCAGAGTTCATTGGCTCCAGGCTGCTCCTGAAGATGAAAAAGATGGCAGAGAGGCAGCTCAATGTGCCCATCCAAAAAGCTGTTATCTCTGTGCCTGCAGAGTTTGACGAGAGACAAAGGAACTACACGGTCAGGGCTGCCAACCTCGCTGGTCAGTTTTCTTGTTACTTCATTACTGTTGTGTTAGTGCTAAACAATGAACAAGGAAATAAAGCAGAACTAGCAACAACTTAAATAATACAGCATAAGAAAATATTACAATATATAAAATAGAATTTAAAAATGTAAAATATAAAAAATAAAAAATAAAAAACACAAATGGACTATGAGAAAACATCTTAGTGTGTGTAACTACTCACAGAGTGCATGTAAGGAAGATACATTTTTAAAGTCCAGTGGACATTAATGTAACACAAACAGTTCAGCATTCACATTACTCTGATGTTTTACTGACTGTGGGGCTGATGAGACTATAGGGATTAATAAAGTATATCTTCTTCTTGTAGGTCATTTGACAAAGCAGAGTGTAAAATCTCCCTGCGGTGGTCTTTGTTTCTTCCTCTGTATGTCACTAGGAAGGTCATTGTGGGGTTTAGTACCATTACATCTTAGACCAGTGGTACTCAGCATCGTTAAACTTGAGCCATCGAACCACATTGACCAAAAAATATTTCCGTAAGAGCCACAATCAAAAAACCTCTTTCTTTCCTAAAACATGTGTGGGAAACACAGTGACATGATTTGCAAATAATAACTTCTGCTGACAATGTTTTCCTTTTTTTAATAATTCCTTTTTTCTTCAAGTAGGATCTAAAAGATCCACAACTAGTCCTGAATGAGCCACGTGTGGCTCAAGAGCCTCAGGTTGAGTATCACTGTGAAAGACAAAGCAAAGATAAAAGCTAAAGCCTTTGCAACTAAACTTTATTGTATTATTGGCTCAGTGGTAGAGATGGTCACCTCAACACGAGGTTTGATCCCCATCTCCTGCAGTTTTTTCTTTTTTTAAAATTCTTATTGGTGTGCATTAGTCTCTCAATGATTTTCTAAACTACTTTTTCGTCAATAACTTTTCTGTACTCTTGTAAAGCACTTTGAACTGCAATTTAATTTGTCTGAAAGGTACTTTATAAATAAAGTTTGATTGAAATGTTGAAATGTCCTCGGGCAAAAACACTAAACCCCAAATTGCTCCTGCTGCTGTGTCATCAGTGTGTAAATGTGTATGAATAATAACTCACTGCATTAGAATCATACCTCTCAGTCCAGGTCATTGAACATCTCTCCTGTTTGTCCTGCAGGTCTGGAGATCCTGCGTGTGATCAATGAGCCCACAGCAGCAGCGATGGCCTACGGCCTGCACAAGGTGGACGTGTTCAACGTGCTGGTGGTCGACCTCGGGGGAGGGACCCTGGATGTTTCTCTGCTCAACAAACAGGGAGGCATGTTTCTCACCAGAGCCATGGCAGGTAATGTCTCTCTGTCTTCACTAGTAATGGACCCCCCCCCCCACCCCCTCCTTGAAGGTCAAGTTAGTAAAAAATAAAAAAACATTTAGATTTATTTTTGGGCTTTTTGTGCCTTTATTGTAGAGATAGGATAGTGGATAGAGTCTGAAATCAGGGAAAGAATTAAGGATTTTAAGGATACCTTTGTGATAGAAAAGGACACATAAAGATTCCTTCAAGCGTTTGTGTCGGCGTCCGTCTGCCCTAACCTTAAGTGGACTTTTTTTTTTTCTTGCAGGCAACAACAAGCTGGGAGGTCAAGACTTCAGCCAGAGGTTGCTCCAATACACCACAGAGCAAGTCCAGCAGGACTTTGGTGTCCCACTGACCCTGAAAGAGGACCTTCACCGTCTGAGACAGGCTGTGGAAGCAGCCAAGCTGAACCTCACCCTCCAGCACAGCACCACCATCAGGCTGCCCCTGCACTTCCACAGCTCTGAGTCGTCTGAGGGATCTGCTCCTGCTCCGGTTCTCTTCCAGTCTGTGATCACTCGCAAGCTGTTCGAAGACCTCAATGAGGATCTTTTCCAGAAAATCCTGGCTCCTATTAAGACCGTGTTGACTGAGGGCCACCTGGAGAAGCAGGAAGTAGATGAGATTGTTCTGGTTGGAGGGTCCACCAGGATACCCCGAATCAGACGGCTGATCAGCGAGTTCTTTGGGAAGGAGCCTAACACATCAGTAGACCCTGACCTGGCTGTGGTTACAGGGGTGGCCATTCAGGCTGGCATCATGGGGGGCTCCTGGCCTCTACAAGTCAGTGCTATAGAAATCCCCAACAGACACCTGCGCAAGACGAACTTCAGCTAATCTGTACTCAGTTATTTATTCCAAAAAAAGGGAGGCCACAGAGACTGACTGTTTCATACTCATCATTTAAAACCCAAGGTACTTCTGTTGTTGAAGCATTGTTGTGTGTGTGTGTGTCGGGAGATTGAAGCAAAACAACATGTGACTGTTTTGCATGTATGTGTGTTAACTGAAACCATCTGTAGAAGAGAACAAACCAGTTTTAGAAGTAAAAGCTGATCATGCTGCACACGAGGCTTCAGCAGGAAAGAACACGAGACACTGGTGGAAAGGGAAGTAGACCCCTCTCTCATGTACCTACTGACACATGGTAAATGGACTTCAGCTTGTGGACATCGGACATGTGGCTGCAGGAGCTGGGAATCGAACCCCCTGACCTTCCGGTTTAAGAGACCACCGACTCTACCAAACTGAGCCACAGCTGCTGAGGCTTTATTTCTGAAGCTTGTTCATGGTAGATCCTTTAATGATGTTCAAATCAGGGAACAGACATTCCTTCAAAGTACTCAACGACTTGCCATTGCAGCCTCATCTATTTATTTATTTATTTGTTCCCATTTAATCTGTGTGTGTGTGTGACAGAGAAAGTGAGAGTGTTTTAGTGCAGGTCTTTTGCAGGCTTTTTATGAATTTTGACACATCCTCATCAGGGGTTAACATAACTCATTTAAAAAAAAGATTCAATGTAATACCGACTACTCGCCTCATGAGGTTTGAAGGGTGAGGTGCATTTTGTGAAAGCCTTACTGTTCATGCTGTACTGTAATAATTCAGTCTATAAAAAAAAATACAGATTGTATTATTTATGAATGAATGATGAATCATGCTCAGTGTTGCACTTTGAGAATTTCCATGTTGGCCAACTTGACTTTTTCTGACAATACTGCATATTGTATTTAAATGTTGCTGACTGAAACCTTTTTTACGTCACATCAAAGTGAAGTATAACAACCTGCTTGTGCTGCTATAGGTAGAGAAGGTCAACTCTGGAAGTGTCACAGTAGGACCAAAGCATTGCTTACTGGTTGTTCTGGTGCCTTGTGTGTTAGCGTCAGATTTGTAGAATGTTTGATGGACACTTTGTTAGTGGTCGGGTGCCTAACATGTAATAGAACTGTAAAATAAGTGTGTATTCCTGCCTGTTTGCTGGTTTACAGAACGTCATATTGGGCACCCAGAATGAAAGTAGATTTACTTGGAAAACATAAAATACTCAACTTTATAGTTCTATAAAGTAGTCGATACAGTAACAACAACTGAAGCTGCCTGCATTCCTTTTGAGAAGTATCTCAACTTTTTGAGTGCCAAATGAAAATGTTTATTACATGTCCTTTTACACTCAGACTTCTGAATTTGTCAACATCTTGTTAAGATTCAAATTCAGTCTGCCGTCGAGATCATTATTGAGTTTTTCTATTTGAACACACTGAAACTCAAGAGACCTCAAAAAAAAAACTGTTTCGATTTTTTCAGTCAATTAAAATGTCATTCCTCATCTTGTTCACTGTTGCTTTATTTAAGACCAGTTATACGAGATCTGTTTCTGTGCGTCACGCATATCTGGATGTTTCACAAAGTACATCACATGCTGAATACATTTAGCTCCTCCAGCTGTTAGGACTGTCTGTGGTCACATCATCAGCTCAGTGATTATTATCGTCCTATTTTAAAATGTATGGTTAAAGGTGCACTACGGAGTTTTGGTTGTGAAATTTGAAAGTTGAAGTGAAACAATTTTATACTATACTTTCAGAACTAAATAGGGATTTACATTTCATGATTTCACATTCTATTATTTTACAAAATTAAGACTGAAGACGAAGTATGAGATGAAGATTCCTTTTAATGTTTTCATGAAGACACCGATTCACCTCGTCATCTCTTTGCCTCTTGCCCTTGTTTGGACGAGCGGGAAAGTGTGGTTTGGCCTTGGTGTGGATTAAATGCTGCATCATGTTGGCCGTGCTGTTTATGCAGTTCCCTGTCTTATTGCAATATTTTCACAGTTTTTGTCTTGTCTGTTATCCTCTCACCTCTTTCATTTTCTTTCTTGGGCAATTTCATAATCTAGCTAAAAAGCTACCAGGAGAGTTAAAGTCTTTATATGTGATTTTTCACACTTAAATATAATAGAAATCAAGCATCTCCTCTGAAAATAACTCTGTGAGTCATGACTGTCTACAATGGATGTAACACCCGAGTCCCACTGTCTGTGATGATGAGTTTTCAGAGTCCTATCTTCAGTTTGTTTACATCGTCAGGACAGCCGGCTGACTCCTCCCCTCGTGTATAAAAGTTGTTTAATTGAAGGACTAGAGAAAAGAAGAATAACATACTGTACTCACTGCTTAACTGTGTTTCTAGATCACACTCATTTCAGGTAAATTTACATGCAGTGTGAAGATACAAGCATAATAAAGATCACTAGCATTAGCATGCTAACACAACAATGCCCTTCAAGAAACAAATCACTTCAAGAAAACTCCAGTATTAGAAGATTGTTTTAATGTTTACTTCTGAGGCACAGTAATACCGTAAGAAAAGAAAAACACAAAAGGCCGACAAAAGTCAATTCCTTGAACCTGTGCTGCCTGTAGTGATACCTGTAGCGTCCCTTCAATAAGCTAAGAGCTTTTTTTCACATTTAGCACCCACTTCAGTTACCTTACAGCATTCAGTTTTACACCAGCAACCAGCTAGTAGATGCATTGTGTATGTTAACACTAATCAACCACAGACTTTAACTGCAGCTCAGAGGCCTACCAGGCAGTTCAATGACTTCCATCTTGACCTTACTATTGCTATAACTCTCACATTGTTGAAATGTTATTCACCCAGCATAGAACTGCACACAAGGTTAAAAATATATATACCAGCCATACACACACAATACATTATACACATCTTTAAAAAAAGACAAACAACAACACATTCACATTTACAATGAAGAGACGGCACACAAGTCCATCCCCCAAACCATTTTAACAAGTTCTTCTGGTTGCACTGGGAGCACAGCTCGCGCACACTTTTACTTGATATGATCGTTACTGTTACACGGCCAAAAGTCGGGAAAAGGGGAAATTCAACCTCTATCAAAATAGTAAATTATCTTACATGCACCATGTGAATATTTCACTAGGAGTAGAAGGCAGGGCTTTTGTAAACTAATCGTTTGCCTTTTGAAGTTTTCTCTTTAAATATAAATACTTATATCATTACTTTTGTGAACAACAGCGCAGCTGAGTGTCGACAGAAGGCGAGAGCATGATGAGCCGTTAGTGTACTAGTTTCATTCAGCCATAAATAAAGAGCCTTTTTAAAAAGACATTAATATCATGTAAATTGGCTAAAACCAACCAAGGTACTGCTTTGGAGAATCAGCGCAAAATAATCTGAAAACACATCTTTAAAAGAAGTAGGCATTGGTAACTTATAGAGCCTCTCAGACTTTAGATGTGAGAGAGGAGGCCACAGATTTGGCGAGTCCTACTCATAAAAGTGCATTTATTCCCGTGTATGTTGCAGCATATCCGACAAGCAAAACATAAAACTATTTACAGCATGTACAGGATGTAACTGCCGTGGTTTGTTTTCCGCATCAGATACAGCAATCTGTCAGTTAATGAGTAGGAGGACAGAGGAGGACAGACCTCGCTCTGATGTGAAAACAAAGCGTTCTTGTCATCTCCGTCTCTCACAGCAGATTCACAAAGGTCAGTCCCAATCACTGGTTTATGCCCTGATTGGTGTAGTAGTCGTAGCCGTTGTCTGCATACAGCTCTTCAGCACTTCCAACACCATTCCCCACCTCTGGAGGGCACCAAAGGATAAGAAGAAAATCAGTGTACAGTATGGTGGCATTGCACTATCATCATATTTATAGCACAACCGTTGGAAAAAATAAAAACATACATCAGCACTGGTGAAAGAGATTACAAAATGTAACAAATAGAAGTACATGAGAGAGAAACTGAATGGAAATGGAAACTATGTAGAACCTTTAACAGTTGGCAGTGATTCGACTTACCTTTGCCCCCCAGCACTAGAGGCTGTCAAGACAGATTGGGGCGTCTATAAGCTCCCCTACACATGATGTTGTCTCCAGCAGGAGAGTTATGGGGGAGGTTTGGTGCATGAAGGGATGATGGATGGATGAGGGGGAGAAGGGCATAGTACACAGAGGAGTGGCAGGCAATGAGAGATGCAATGGATGCATGAAATGTAAGTCACACTGGTGGTAGCTTGGACAGGAGGTGCTGTACATCACAAAGGCTGCTACTGAGGTTGACCTTCAACAGGGGAAAGAGAAAGAGGAGGAAGAACATTCACAGACACTCAGAGGATCATGCTGGGATGCAGTAAACATGCTGGCTGGGTACCTGGAACTCACAAAAAGCTAAAATCTCTGTTTTTTAAATCAGCCATTAAAATGTAAATTATAAAGAGATAAGTTTGTTTATGAGTTCAGGAGCCCAAAACACATGAGAACAAGAATGCAACAAAACATCCAAGAGTAAAACACATTCTGCCTCTTCTCGGTTTGAGTGTCTTACCAGAGAAAATGAGTTTCTCCTTCATCACGTTGAGGTCTCTGCTGGACCTCCTGACTGCGGCACTCAGCATGATCTGTTCAGGGTTGTAGCTGCGCATACCGCTCATGCGATACCTGTGGGGTCACATGTTTGATTAGACATCTTTGCTAGACAGTGATTATGTAACTTCATACTGCTGCCTCTGCTCTAAATACACATGTCCTCTGAAGTCCTAGAATTGTTTTTATGGCTGATAAATTCTCTATTAAAAATGTCTTGTTGGTAATTACTTCTTCACTAATTGCCTAACGAAGTATTTCCAACATATATGATTTGCATTTCAGCAAATATCAATTTCGCATTGATGCTAAAATTCTGTGGAACAAATAGAACAAAGCATTTCACTCCATTGAGGGACTTTAGTTGTGTGTTCATTTAATTAACATTTGTTGGTAGCTCACAAACCCCCTCCCTGGACTGAGCTGTGATGTCAGAGGAATCTATTTCCTGTATGTGAAAACAGCGTCCTTGCTTTAATGAGAACAGCTTTTGATTTCACTTAAATTAACTTGAGACCATTAGTCACAGTGACTTGTGACTAATGCAGAGAGGCATTAAGAAACAGAAATGCAAACAAGCAAGCTTTTACTTCATCAGCATCAGTAAAGCCAATCTTAAGGCACTTCTCCTGATTAATGCAGTACAGTAGCTCCATTTGGACATCTAGTCGTTAGCATTAATGCGGTCAGAGATTTTAAATCTACATGTCGACTTAATGCTGAGAATTTGTTGTGTGCTATGTGGGCTGAAAGCATTCACTTTATTAGACTAGCATGGGCAGAGACCCTCCCTCTAGAGGGAAGTGACAGCATCGCAGTATGTTTCAGGTGAATGCCTACAAAGTGAGGCAGAGAGAGAAAAAAGACAGAAAGAAGGTGGAGAGGAATCTGATGTCATAACAAAGAGAGTATGAAAAATAAAGAATAAGAATTACACAAAGATGGAGGAGACAAAAGACTTTGATGAATAAAAGCATGATGGATAAAGAAAATAGTCAAAGACAAAAGAGGGTGAAAACTGAGAAGACTTTGGGCCCCGAGAGGTGACCCAGTTACCTGATCATGTGATAGCTGAGAGAAGTTGCCAGAATGCAGCAGAGGAGGAGAAGAGCATGCGAATCAGGCAGAGGAGAGAGGGTGAGGAAGAGGCAGAGGGACAAAAAAAGGACAAAAGAAGGCAGGAGACAAGAGAGGTCAGTTTAGAAGCCAGCAGAAGCTACAGAGCCGAGGCAGGACTGTAACAGAGACAACAGGAGGCAGGTCCATCTCTCTTTAGAATGTGTCACACAAACAGACAAAATCACACTCTCCAGCTAAGGAGAAGTCATAAAGGAGGGGAGTGAAGCTAAAATAACATCTCCTCTGTCACGTCCAGATGAAATACATCATAAAACAATAAAAAACACAAGTATAGGTAATGAAATAATGAAGATTTCTTTACATCTCTTTGATGTTCATTATTAGCAAATAATTAAAAAACAATAACAGCACGAGGAGCTGCATTAATATGTATGAGCTGGCTTTGTAGTTATGTACACAGAGGTGTCTTCTGAATAAAGGGAGAGGCATTAAACTCAAGAGAAAGGCGTTTGTAATTTAGCAGTAAAAGATATGTTAAAATATGTGTTAAAATGTGTGTTTGGGTTTGAGAGAGAGGAACAGGAAAGATGTTTCCTTTTCTATTCAAATACAAAGTGATCATACTTACTTCTGGAAAATGAATATTCCTACAACAACAGCAAAAGAGATGAGGTCAGCAGACACCCACATCAGGCAGTATTCATCTGGTCTCTGAAAACACACACACAGAAACACACCAACAGTTACAGTAGGTTCAAACTTTTCACCATCAACGGGGCAATGTAATAGTCCACCACTAGGTGGAGCAACATGTCAATATTCAT